CAAGGGCAAGGGGAAGTCCAGGGGCAAGCCTGGGAGCAAAGGGAAAGGTAAGCCCCCCCAGCCGAACAATCAGGCTTCCAGGGGCAGTAACAAGCAGGCGGCCACCGATCCGAAAGGGAACCAGTTCTGTAACAACTGGATGCGCGGGCGCTGCCCGGGCAACTGCGGACGCACGCACAAGTGCAACCTCATCCTGGCGACGGGCCGCATCTGCCTGGGAGACCACCTCCCGCAGGACTGCCCGGGTTGACTAGGGGCTCGGACCCCGACCCCCCGGTGCCGAGGGCCCTGATAGGGCCCGGAGAGGGGGCGAAAACGCCCCAAGCAGGCACATGAGCCCCCTCCTGCAGGTGCCGAGGGCCCTGACACAGGGGGGGGACAGGCCAGGTGGCGGCCCTCCTCGGCGGAACAAGGATGGGGACGACAGAACCAGCGTGCACAACACCCCAGCTGGGGTCAGAACAACCACACAGCTGACACAACGGCAACGCCGCAGCCCCGTGCCACAGGTGCCGAGGGCCCTGAGATGGCAGGGGCGGGACGGTTCCCCGCAGGTGCCAAGGGCCCTGACACGGGGGGCCGCGCCCAGCAGGCCCGAGTGCCGGACAACTGGCAGCACACCGCAACGCCGAGGAACACGCCCAGGAGGCAGCCGATCCCACTTCCGGCGCCCAACATCATCAAGCAGGACCCGGTGGTTTTTCATAAGAGTTCTGTTGGGCTGAATGAAGGGGGCCAACGCCTTTCAGCTACCCCCCTGACAAGTCCCACGGAGCTGTCACCGGGAGGGGACACCTTCCCGTGGATGGAGAACATCCCGGAGCGCCTGGCACAGCGGCTGAGATGGACACAGGGCACATCGCCCAAAGTTCCATCCAGTGGGCCCATCATTGTCCTGCTCTATGCAGGCAAGGAAGACCCAACTTCCTTAGACAGCTGTCTTCATGCCAACTACCCGCACCTCTCCAGCATGGTGGTGGCAGTAGACATCCTACGATCGGGACCAAAAGGGAACCACGACATGCTCCAACCCGAGCTGTATGGAGCGCTCTGCACGGCAGCAAAGCAGGGCCGAGTGGTCTTCATTGGGGGAGGACCCAACTGCAGGACATGGTCCATCCTGCGCCACATACCAAAACCGGGGGCCCCCACCCCGGTGCGAGGACGCACTCGAGAGACACTTTGGGGCCTCCCACACCTGGACCAGGCCGCCCAGACTCAGCTTGATGAGGACAGTACCCTCATTTTGAGGCAGATGTACATCACCAGCCTGGCAAGGGCCTCAAGATCGGCGGTCTCTCTGCCAGGGCCAAAATCCTTCTTGGAGCACCCGGAGGACCCAGTGGTGAGCAGCTCGCTGCCCAAAGCCAAGGAATGCTCATCCTTCTGGATCACGGAGGAGGGGCAGCTTTGGATGGAGGAAAACTCCCTGACAGCAATCTCCTTCGACCAGTGCCGCCTGGGCCAGCTGGTCAAGAAGGCCACCACACTTGCCACGGATCTCCCAATCCAGGACTGGGATCAAATGCGGTGCACACATCAGTCACATGTGGGCACCAGCGAGTCCTCGACTCTCAGCAGATACCCCTGGGATATGATGGCAGGCCTGGCCAAAGCCATCGCTGTGTCACTCGCAGCGCCGGGGCACATCCGGATCCCCTCACAATTCCCGGGAAACCCTAAGGAACCACCTAAGGGAAGGGGGTCGGACCCCCCTGGGGGCCCTTCTCCCCGGGGAAAACGGGGACCCAATCAGGGAGGCGGTCCCTCCTCGTCACACCAGGGCCCAGAGCCCGGAGGCAAGAATGCCCCGAAGCCCCGCCAGCACGGGCACATCCACCATGAGGCTGACACCGTAAGCCCTCGTGGAACTATGAACCCAGACTTCCCATCTCCCATGCCCCCGATGGCCGGAGATGCGGAACAACTGGAAAAGGAAGAACATGGGGACCAGGTCCTGGACCGCCCCGAATGTCTGCCCGCTTTCCGGGTCCCACGCCTCACTGACCGAGTTGCGATTGTCCAATTGGGTTTCCGTTCACGCCCCCTGAGAGATGGGGGGGGGAAACCTTCCCCGGGGAGGCTCAACCCCCCCTTTCGGAGAATTTCCCCTTTGGCTACTTTGGGCGCCCTGATCATGACCCTTACCAGGCCCTGGATTGATAAGGTCCGGATGTCCCTGGCATCAGGTGCCACCACACACCCCTTCCAGGAAGCCGACCTCGAGGAGCTGCGGGCTATCCTAGGACCGAGGCACCTCCATGAACGATGCCCAGGACAACCCTTCCTCCTGGACTTAGTGTCGCACTTGGCATCCCTTTCAGGTGACCCTGATTGGGAGTTCCCCCTAACACTGAAAGAGGGGGTCCCCTTGGGAGTCTCGGACCCTACCTTGACCTCCCCGGGAGTTTGGCCCACTAAGGAGGAGCTTAAGGGAGAAGCCTGGCTGGGGGAAGACCCCCCCCCGCCAGTGGCTCATGATAACTACCCAACGGCTGAACTCTTTGCCGAGGAAATCGAATCAACCTTTTACGAGGAACGAGCCTTGGACATGGTGGACGGGCCCTTCACTCGCTCCGAGGCGGCGGAGAGGTGCCGCTGCAAACCGGAGGAACTTTGCCCGGGCCCCCTTGCAGGGATTGATGAGTCGGACAAGATCAGGACGATTTACGATGGCTCCAAAGGGGGAGCAAACGCACACATCCAGGCTCACACAGGGGAGAAGACCACTGCACCGATGGTCGGAGACTGCCTCCACGCCATCCACTGGCTCAGGACAGCGACGGACCATCCCCATCTACTTTGGGCCACGCTCCCGAACACTGAGGAGAGACCTCGGGATGTTCACCAGCCGGTGCAGGGGCAGTCCCCAGGTGCCGAGGGCCCTGAGAGGGAGCACCTGCCCTCCAGGGCCGAGGGGCCTGATCGGGGCAGGGGGATTATGGATACCTCCGGCGGCATGGACGTCTCTAGGACAAGCCCAACAACAAAACTGGGATCGACACCCTCAGGAAAGGGACCACTCCCAGGTGCCGAGGGCCCTGACAGGAGGGCCCCCTTCCCCCCAACCCCCGGGCACGGAATGCCCTGGGGGGAGCGGGGGGGAACCCCTGAGATGGCAGCTGCCGACACAGGGGGAAACCTTCATCATCCTCAAGGCAGATGTCACCAAGGCCCACAGGCGAAAAAAGTGCTCCCTAAAGACTGGAAATACCAGGTGGCCTGCATCCAAAACCGGTGGTGGGTCAACAGAGTGGGCACGTACGGCATGGCCTCGGCACAGCTGTACTGGGGAAGAAAGGCATCCCTGGTGCTCAGGCTCTTGTACTACATCTTCCCCCATGTGGACTGGCACTTAGTCTTTGTGGACGACTACTGCTGGGTCCTCAGATGCAGCCGGGCGGACTGGGACGCCACAGCCATCTTGGCTACACTGCTGGCGCTGGGAGTCCCGCTTTCCTGGAAGAAGACGGCGCTCTCCCCGATCAATACCTGGTTGGGTTTTGTGGTGGACCCAATCACGCCCTGTGTACTGCTGGCTCCAGTCAAACACGTCATAATCCTGGCCACTCTTAAACGGCTGGCCCAGGGGGACATCTTCACCAGCAAGGAGGTGGAACAAGCCCTAGGCCGTATTCAATGGGCTACTTCGGCGTGCCCATTGACGAAACCTTTCCTCCAGCCTTTTTGGAGCTGGAAGAAGGCCTGCACCACTTCGGGCAGGCCACCGAAGCTGGTTCGTGCTCTGGCCATACTTTTGGGGAGACTCTTCAACCAGAGGTTCCCACTGGCATCCCCATTTGCTCCCACACTCCCATGGACGGGGGCATCTGATGCGGGAGCTGGCAGACAGGCGGACCATGCATGGGTGGGTGGTTGGTGCTCGGACGTGCCCAACCCCGACAAGTCCCGTGTTAAGTGGTTCCAGCACAGAATCACACCGGAGGGCGAGCCGTGGGCCTTCACTACTGGGGACCCGCAGCGGGCGATAGCGGCCTTGGAGCTCTTCGGCCTCCTCCTTTTGGTGAGGGCCGTTCTGCTTTGTGCAGCCGGCTCGGCTTCTCACACTAGGATCCTGGTGGCTAGTGATAACCAGGGAAATGTTTTCTCCCTTCTTAACGATTCCACTCGTAGGATGCCCAATGCGGCCATCCTCATGGAAATTGTGCTCACGCTGCATGACCAGCAGGTCATGTTGGGGCCGTCGCATGTGAAACGCGACTTCAACACGTGGGCGGATGAGCTTACTCATCCGGACCCGCAATTCCCGACTGAGAACCGGGTCTTCCCCTCAGTCGAGAGCGAATTGATCACACTGATCTTCGCTACTTTCCTTCCTCACCCATGATGCCGGGAGGGCATCCGGTGAGGTGGGAGGATTTCTCCCTCGCTGTGGGAGTGGCATCAATCCTACTCCCATCAGCTGCTGAGGGGAGCTGCCCAGTGGAACTGGGCAATCCTCCCATTTTGGCACTAACCCTTATGCGGCAAAAAAGGAGGCACCGTTTTGCGAATAAGGCCTCAGTAGCACCTGAGTGGTGCTTCAAAGAGTCAAAATGTCCTCTGAAAACGGGAACGAATTGTGGCCCGCCCCGCCCATGTCTGGCAAAACCTCCAAAGCTGTGCTAGCGGTACTCAGCGCTTTCTGTGCTAACTGAGCTGTGGTAGCTGTTTTGCATGGACTGGCATGCTTCTCCCTTTGAGCTGACCAATTCAGGGGTACGAGCGAAAATGAATGTGGTCCCCTTAAAAATTTGGCTTTTTCCACCTTCCTTCGACTGGGTTGTTTTTGGCTTTGCTGGATCCATTCTGGGAGTGTTTTTTTTGTTTTTTGTCTGGTGCTTCTACACTGTCAAGTTGCATGGCCTGGGATACCGACAAATTGATAATTTGGAATGTAAACCCAAAACTGGATCTCGGTGTTTCCTGAAACATTCCCCTTGAAAAAACCCACCAAGCCGCGTGCCAAGTCCAAGAAAGGCACACCCCATTCTCGCGAGGAGCACATCGTGTGGGGGACTCCGTGCCTCGAGGACTTACACAAAGTTCACAGGCCCATCGCTTCAGTCTTTGCGTTTCGGCCTTTTTTCTCGTATCACAGCTTCGTGGTTTCCTTTTGGTCTCCCTCAAGCAGCCAAAAAGGGTACCCTCAAAAACAAGACCAGCCTAGCATCCCAACCACGGCCCTGCTCCGGATGTGTCCGGGTCCATGGCGAGGCTGGTGGTGGAGGGCCACCTGCGCCGCGACGCGAAGCTGTTCTCCGGCGCAAAGGCGGTGCTGGCGAAGTCCAGCCTGGGACTGGAGTGGCCCGGACGAAGCGATCGGAAGTGCTTGGGGTTTCAATCACCCGTGGATTTCGTGGATTTGGTGGACAATTCCGAGTCCACCAATTGTCAGACAAGGCAAGCATAATTGGGTTTGATACACTAAGTGTTGATTTGGTTTGATACTTCCGTTGTTGCTTAAGAGTATGTCGTTGTGTTTCCTTGGTTTTGAAGGGCATCTATCACGATTGGACATATTTTGCATTTTTCCCAGGGGGCTTAAGCAAATGGAGGATTAGGTCTACTAATGTTCAGACAGAATAGTCTGATACACTAATATTTAGCGAAGTGTTGGTCAATGAAGCAGTTCAAAGCTAGAACTAATTGTCCTGGAATCGCGAGGAGCCAAGTTTCAAAGTCCAGCTGGAACTTCTTGCTTTCTTGGTTTTCTCGAAAAGATTCATCGAACCAGCGGAAACTGCAGGAGCCCTGTTGCGGAGTTCTTCTGCTCACGCAAGCCTAAGGCCAACCCTTCAACCTGTTGGTTTCTCCTTTTTCTGGTCCACAGTCAAGACTCTAAAAGATGATCAGCTTTCATGTCCAGGTCCGACAAGGGGATGCGAGTTTGGGGTTTAGCCGCTCCATGCATTTTGTTTAGTTTAGGGTTTTCATTTTGGTGCCCATGAAGAAGAAAGCAAACAACACGAAAAAGGAGTACGATCAAACAAGGACACACCCATGAGCCTACCCCGCGGTTCGTGGGGTCGTTTCCAATCGTCTCCAACCGTCGGATTAATATACCCTCTACCCCCTCTTTCCCAGAAGGCCAGACCTCGGATTAAACGGGTTTGTGCGGAGGGTCCGTTTTCGAGGGCTGGGGGAGGGGTTGTGCGACGTCACCCAGAGGGAATGTTCTTTTCATAGCGGTCCCATTTTTCTTCAGCGGGGGGGGGGGGGATCGGAGCGGATTTGTCCCAAGCGGAATTCTCATAGAATACTAGATCACTGGATCAATCATCGTCGCCATTCTTGTGACCAGCCAAATGGGGGGCTTTCTTGGCTCCCTCAAAGTCACCCAAAGTTATGACCTTTGGGCGGTTTTCCTTGAGAGTAATGTTGAGGGCAGCATTTGGCAAGCAGTTCCAGTTGTTCTGGTTGCCACCGCAACCTGTTGGTCCCTTTAAAAGCGGGCCCGGAAATTGTCCCAGAAAAGGGCGCACATTCTTTGGAACTCAATGGGCTACAATTCTTTTACCTGGTTTTACCATGATGAGAAAATTGGGGTTCGCAGTGAGACTACTACCACCACTACTACTACTAGTACTGGTACTGGTATTACTATTACTACTACTACTACTACTACTACTACTACTACTACTACTACTACTACTACTACTACTACTACTACTGGCTACTACTACTACTATTACAATCACTAAACTACAAACTACTTGCTGCTGCTGCTACTGCTGCTACTACTACTTCTACTTCTACTTCTACTACTACTACTACTACTACTACTACTACTACTACTACTACTACTACTACTACTACTACTACTACTACTACTACTATTGCGTGAGTTTGTCTATGACTGGGATCTGTACCAAAGGGCAGCGGCAAGTGGCTATGTGATTTGTCACATTGCCGGGATTGTCTGGACGGCTACTGCGTCTTTTGTGTTACGCCCGACAGTGTCTGGTTTTGTCACTTCCGTGAGCCAGTTCATGCAGACCTGGCAGCTCTTTGTTCTCTGCTGCGGCTGGTACGCAGGGCGTGTTTCTGTGTGTTCGTGTGAGGTGTTCTGTTACTGTTGCCAGCGAGCGTGTCTTGCCTGGCGCAGATGCAGGTGCGTGCCTCGGAGGGTGGTGAATGTACAGGGCTTAGTTCACGTGGGGTCGACGCCGGCTTGCGGCCGCTCTTTTGGCTTGCACTCTGTGGCGCATGGCGCCTGACGCTCGACCATTTCTCCTCTGACAGTTGGTGCTTGCTGCTTGGCAGGGCCACCTTTGCTCTCGTGCGCCGCTCACTTCACCCTTTGCTGACGGGGGGCCCTGGCTCCATGTTCGCACCGGCAATGTTTATCCAAGCAAGCCCACCAATAGACTTGAAAGCTCTCACCAAAACAGAAGTCATCAAACTCGCGGAGAACAGCCGTGAGCAGCAGACTTTCAATTCTTTGCCAGCATGCACGGAAAATATCAAGAGGCATGCGAACATCAAAGCAGGCCTCTTGGCGGTGGGGCCGTGTCTCTTTTTCTGGCTCTACTCCAAAAGGGTTCACCCCAAAACCCCCAAATAGAGTGAGAGTATGAGCTTTCATGGGCAAGAGTTAGAGTAAGGGGGGCTTTGCTCGAGGGTGTTCGTACTTGAATGCCACAGGCAGAGAATAACAGGGAGACCTGTCACCAGGCTGGGCGAACCGGGGCCCGGTAGAGCATGATGATCAGGCCCCCGAATTACGCTGCTCGGTTTCTGGTAATGGCTGCTGTTCAGGGCGCGACCCGGGTCTAGACCTGCGTCCTACTGCAAATGGACGGGGGGAAAATGGTGACCTCCTGTTGCACGCCACGTACACGGAGTGTGGACGGGCTGGTGGCCGGGCCGCCCTGCCCACCCTGGACAGCCAATGGTGCGCCGGCATGTCTGGACCTTTGATAGCTTCCAGCGCAGAGAGCGTGTCACAGAGAGGCCTCCTGCACCAGCTGCTGCACATTATGGAAGACCAAGGAAAGAAAGACACGGCCTTTTGCGTTCTGGAGCAGGCTGCTTGGCGCGGTGGGGCTTCAGAAACAGCAGGCCTTTTGGATTTCAGAGTAAAATACGCCCCTTTGACTAAATAGCAGCCTCCATTCGCAGGGAATATTGGGGTCAGCTGGTCCCCCCTTGCTCATTTAATTTCTGGCTAGAGTCGAATGGCATTGTTGTGAATGTTGTGAATCTTGGGTAGCCAACCTAAACAGCTAGAACAGCCAAAAACTATGTACTGGCAAGGCCCAGCAGTTTGCTCACAACATCGGAAGAGTTGTATTTTTGTGCTTTTCTGGCACGCGATATGCCTGGCACAAGGCGGTCGCTCGCGCCACTGTCTTCAACCGTTTTTTGTCGCACAATCCCTGCTGGGAGTGCAGCAAGCGAGAGATTTCCGTGGTTCCAAACAGTGATGCCTGAGAACACCCAGGTCAAGCCACCCTCCTCCGCATGATTTGTGGGCTTACCACCAAATTTGTAAGATTGCCTGCGCAGTTTAGTTGGACGGCCTTCGCATTTTGCTTGACGGGGTGTACTCCCACTAGCTTGGCAGCATTCTTCATCTATGCTGGCACGATGGTGTCGAGGCTGGGGTCAAGTATCTTTGAAGCCTGGTAACAAGAATGCAAAAAGCAGGCCACAAAACCAACCTCAGGCTGTCTATGATTTGTGACCGGCAGCGCGCTCTTACGCCCAAAGGAGCTAAATCTAAGTGGCTAGCCCCTGCTTCCCTCTCAGTGCGCAAGGCCATTCTACAAACCGAAGCTGCTATGCCAGGGGCTTTGCAAAGCATGTGTGACCTCGTCGCGCGGTTTGATGCGTCAGGAATGAAGCGTGTGCCCTTGCAAAATGGTGGTGCTTGGATACATATGCACAGCTCCCTGAATGGGCAGAAGCAGACAGAAAAATGCTTGCGCAGTCAGTGAGCATGGGAGCAAGGTCGGCCAGGGTAGCTCAGAAAGTTTGCCCTAAGTACAAGCTTTTGCTAGATCTCCTTTTGGCAAGGGTTTGAGCTTTGCCAGAGGTAGTTCAAGTAAATGCCATTGAGATCGCACCCCTTCTGCAAATGATCTGGAGAAGTCTGACAGGGATATGTTCAAATTGGTTTCATTGTTTGACTCATATTGATTCTAATATTGATTCGGGTGTTGATTTTCATACCGATTTTCAGATTGCTTTTGCCAACAGTTTTTGTTGGATTGATTTTTGCATTGAATGTCTGACTGGAAAACACATCGCAAAACGCAAACCCCGTGGCTTTGATTAATTTCAATCCAAAATCAAAAGATTGATTAGGATCAAGATTGGATTCCCAGGGTACTTGGCACTTGGCGGCGATGAAGTCGCAAACAGGCAGGAAGTATGGCGGCGCGGCCCGCATGATTCCTTGCTCGGTATTTCTTTTACTCTTTGAGTGGGGGGACTTGTGCCTGCGCCTGAGACAAAGAGCAAGCCGTTGGCACCTGTCTGGCACAGGGTCCGCCGAGGCAAGGTGCAGAACGAGGTGGTTTGGAGGAGTTCTTTATTGTGCGCACTGTGACATTCCAGGAGGCTAATTGGGAACACTGCTGAGGAGCGAGTTGGAGGCGCTTCTGAGAAGGAGTGGGTGGCCTTCTTCGCTGCAGACAGCTGTGCAAGTAGCATGGTTCATCAACAGCTGGCGCAGGTCACCCTGTCCCACCGCCCTTTTCTTTGCGCACCCTGCAGGTCTCCGTCCTGTAAAGCAAAGGCCGCTTTTCGTCAACCTTTATTTGCATTCTATACTAACAATTCTTTCAATCCCTTTATCTGCAACTTGAAGCCCCTTAGAAGCCCACTGCTGTTGTCCAGGGAACCGTGAAACTACCGTGAACGTGCTTTTTGCAGTTTTGGCCGTGAGCAATTGGTTCGAGTTCTCACGATGCCCAAAGTGTCATAGGGGCATGCGCGAGCCGGCATCTTTTAAAGGCCATGTCAATCTCAATCATGAACGTGTATAGCGTTCCCGGTTCAAGGCCTTGGTTGATTCTTAGCACCAGCTTCCATGTAAGGGTTCGGTTCTACACGCTTCGGTCCTGGGGCGGTTCGAAGCGATTCGATTCTGAAAGGGCTTTGCTTGCGGTTCTTGTTCGCTGCTACAACTACGACACTACGGGTGCCACTACCACTACCATCACCCACTGTAACTGCCTCTGCTACTGCCACTGCCACAACGACTAATCATGACAATATCCATAACAATAAAAAAAGACTGATATACGTCCCCCCCCCCCCAAGTCTTCAATAGCAACCGACGAGAAGTTGACTTTCCGGCGGTGAGGTCCAAGTTGGCCGAGAGCCACGGAAAGAGAAAGCCCTTGCCCGAGGTTCACCAATATCCTGGACAGGGCCTTGAAGACTGGATCGGTGTACGAGTCGCTTTTCCCCCTCAGCGCCATCAAGAGGCCGTCCAGAATCGGCGCCATCGCGCGGGTTGACGCGGAACTGGGCGCGGGCAACAGCAGCCAGCGTTGTGTTCCCGAAAGCCGAAGAAAATGGACACGTGTTTAAACATCTTGTCCAGACCCCCAGTTTGGCACCCAAAGAACCAACAAGACATATTGTTTGGAGTACACCAAATAGGATTTGGAACCTCACCCAAGATGAAGCTTCCCTGCATGGGGATCTCTTATATCTGGTTTGTTTCTACTTGAAGGACCTTGAATGATCACGATGAATGTTGCAAACGTCCTGGGAAGTTTCCATTCTGGGTTGATTTCCCATTCTTGTCAAGGCATGCTTCTCTTAAGAAACGACCTGTTCCTAGCATTTGTTCGGGCAATGCCCCGCAATGTGCAAGAAAACCAATTGCCTTGAGGCGACTGCGGTCTCTACATCACGAGGGTGGAGAGCGGGTGACCGGAGCTTCTAAAATGGAGCAGCTGAAGATTCTTCGCTGGACTTAGATTTTGTTGCAACTGGAGGTTTCCAGTTTTCCAGTCCTTTGCTTTCCATGTAGTCTCCATATGCTTTCACTACTTGTTTTGGTTTTAGACTCACGACCATGGAAGCTCTTAGAAGGCCCCCGTAAACGGAACCAAGTCTTCCATTTCGGGTTCCGGTTGGGAGCGCCATGGAATCGCATGGGGGAGGGTAGACTTTTTGAACACCTGCTTCAGGTTTCCCAAGAGCAACAGGATAAACACGCGGGTCACTGGTTCAAATCTACCTGGTTCTGGTCGCATCAGGTTACCATCAAGCAGGTGGCATTGTCGGAGAACCCCCAGGTGACTTCCAGTTCCCTTGTACACAGCCCCTGCCGTCAAAACTCGTACCGTCAAATGTGCCCCCCACTACCCTTTCTAGCATTCAACCTAGAGGAATTTTCATGGGAGCCTTGGGGTGGGGTGGGGTGCCAGCAAACCTATCTACCAGTGAGGCGGGGCGCCTTCCTGAAGAATATGCCTTCTCAATCCGCCAAGTCCGACTTTCATTGACTAATTAAGCGGAGCAAGGTGTAGGGTGGAGGCCTATATCCCTCATTACACCCTGTTACTGAAATTCATTGCTTAGCCCGGGATAGCCCTTTCTTATAGAACCCTTTCAGGTCCATGATAATTCCAGGGCCCGACCCACAGGCAACCCAGCATTGACACGTTCATTGAAGTCGCGCGGTGTTCCATTTAACAGGGCTCGCACTTTTTCCATGGCACTTTTGTCCCGTACCCGACGCAAAACAACAGCCCATCCGCTAGGGTCCGCAGCGTTTTTTTTTTTTTTTTCTGTTTCTCCCCTCCGCACCTCTGAGGATTGTCAACCCTAAACCCTAACCTAAACCCTAAACTCTAAACCCAGACCTGTCCAGTTCTCTCTCCTCTTTCGGACCCGAGGATCGAGGAGGACTTGGCCAAGGCGCGGGCGGCCAAGATGGCCGCTCTGAGCCGGGACTTCTCCAGCGCCAAGAAGTCGGAGGCCTTGGACTTCTTTCAGCGCCCCGGCTTCGAGCGGTCGACACGGCGGGCTCAGTTCCAAACGTCGAGGTTTTGGCGAAAAAACACGCCGAGCAGTCGATAACACGGCGGGTTCAGTTCCAAACGTCGAGCAGTCGAGAACACGGACAGCGCTCGAAGGAAAGGATAAGTTTGAGTTGCTCACTTTGCCAGGTTCGGGTCGATTGTTGCTTGAGTCGATTTGGGTCTGGACCATTGTGGTAAGAGTCAGTGTGCACCTTGAGGACGATCCATTCAGGAACTTAAGAAAGGAAAGGGGAACGGAGGAAAGGAATTGCACCAAAATCAAACACAGTCGAAAGGAAACCACAAGGGGAAGGTGTGTGTTCTTGTTTTTGTTTTTGTTGGTGTGTGGGCCGAGAAAACTATCGGCAATGGACCAGCGTTGCTCAGACGCCACCCTTTTCAATCCCGCTTTTATGTCCAAGGGCGTCCACCTCGACAAACAACATAACAACAACAATCCACCGCAGAAAAAGGGAAGAATGCGAAATCCTCTGAACATAGCATGGTTGTTGTTGGGAAACATGTTACATTTTGCTTATTGTGATTGAGTGGGAAATCCCCACTTAACCGCGAAGATTTGCAGTTTTGCTCCCCTTCCAATGTCAACCAAGATAGATGGCCATGTACATTTGCAGCAAAGCAATGACTCAGTTGTTCAAAGCCGACCTTTTGACCTTTCGGCTTTCCCATTTTGGTCCAGACTTAGTCATGGCCCCAAAAGGTTAACCTTTTAGTTCCAGGTCCTTTGGGCAACTGAGATGATGCTGTCCTTTGGGCTTTGGCTTCTGTTTTGATCTGTGGCCCTTGTGATCGATGTCCACCGTGCCTCTAAGAAATTCTCTGTGTCACCTGTGGCTGGGCGGACTTGCGACTGGCTACTGGACACTGACACTGCCCTTTAACCATTTTTTGGGGGAGGGTTCCCCCACTAGAATAGACTACGGAAAAAAAAGGTACCCTTCTTCAAACCTCTCTACTGGAGGACCTAGGAAAGATATTGAACAGTTGTGAGCATTTGAATCAATCACTTTCTCACAGACAGAGAACTTTCCACAGACTTTGGAGGCATCACTGGTGCCTTGAGGGACCCCCTTTTACCTTTTTTTTTGGGGGGGAGGGTGCCCCTACTAAAATAAAGTACATAAAAAAGGGTACCCTTATTCTAACCTCTCTACTGCAGGACCTAGCCTAGTTGGTGGTTTGGAGTGGTGGTTTAGGTTTGGATTTGGACCGTTGATTCTTGTGGAGGGTAAATGGGAAACCCCTTCTTAGCCACCAAACCACCGACTCGGATCCAAACCACCAGAACTCAGAAGCAAAAAATCCGTCCTAAGGAAGCCATAGCCAATGACTCGAAGTCTTGACCATGATGCTTTGGTGCATGCAGCTTTGGCTTGAACTCGGAGACCGATGGGTGCAACACCACCCCAATGCCCGGGGAAAATGGGGTGGCCTCCGTAAAATACTGGCCGAACAAAACCGCTTGAGCTCTGGGTCTCGGTAGCTTCGGCTTGGTGGAACCCATCTTGGAGTCCTTGGTTCGGGTTTTTCCCCAAGAGCTGGAAGCTATGTGGTCTCCAGATAAGCTCTGCAGCTTTCAGGGAGGGTAGGTCCCCCAGCTAGGTGCTCTTTTACCTTTTTTTTGGGGATTGCCTTACTAAAGTAGACCACAGAAAAAACAAAGTACCCTTATTCTAACCTCTCAAATCTGGAGGACCTAGGGATACACTCTGGGCGGCTGAGGTCGTCCCTCTCCTCAACTGCTCCTCTCTCAGCGGTGGCCGAGCTTGGCCACTACTTGGACGACTGGAAGAGTCCCAGGCGCCCCGGAGCGCCGTTGAGACTTCCATTTGGTTTAGAATATGTCTTCAGGGTTGTGGGATCAAGGGGTTTATTCTCACTTCTGTGATACAAGTTGGAATATGTTGGAATATCCCCCTGTATATGGGGTGTTAGTCTTTGGGAAGCCCTTTTTGTTGTATCACAGAAGTGGTCATTTCCCACAACCCTGTATGTCTTATTCTCCCCCTGTCTTTAAAGCGACAAACCAATCACAAGGATTGATCACTTTGACATCGCAGAACACAGATATGGGTCTAGAGTTTTGTTCGAGGGCACCCTTTTTGGCTGGTTTTACAAAATGAAAACCCAAAGCCATGTTGGCAGGTCCGCCAAAAAAGACACGCCCATGTTCTTCCATTTGGTTGAGAACATGTTTTATTTTCCCCTGTTGGTTTTAAAGGGAATCAATTTCACTACTGGAAAGGTTTTTCTATTTTTTCCAGGGGACGAAAAAGCAAATGGACAATGGCAGAGGTGTCCCATTTTCTCGGAAAAAAAAAACAGCTCAGCCCCAGTCCCAGCGGGCTTTCTTTCAGCTCTTGGTTAGAGGGTTGCCCCTGTGAGCTTCTGTGCTTCTGTGCTTCGGCACCTCCTTGGAAACTTGGGATATGGCCATGGGTCAAAAACCAAATCGGTTAGCCCCCAGCGAACGGGTCCCAATCCAACCACTAGAAAACACTAAACTGGGCACCTAGCCCACAATGGGATCCCAGTGGTTTTGACCACCACAGCCATATTGCCCCATGGGAATCGGGGGAATCTCCAAGGTTAAAGGCCGTTTGTTTGGGGCCCTGGCTTCCCGCTTCGGTGTTTTCAGGGACAACCAGAGAAGAAACTAGCCATTTGGAGGGGTTCTCCGATTTATAAGACACACCCACCTCGAAGTACGTATATCGTGATATCAACCGGGGTTTTTGAATTGGGTGCTGTTCCTTTCATTGCCCTCAGCTCAAAGCCCACAAAAGCAGGCACTCAATCCCAACTCTCTTTGGCCCAGATGTTGAAGCCTAGCGCGTCCAACTTGGGAGTGTCATTTTCTTAGGCTGCCCTTGGACAGTCTGAGGGTCATGTACATGGGGTATCCGCTTCCCCGGTGCTTCTACGTGCCGGGTGTGCAATGCGCGAATGGGCTGGGAGACGGGTTTTGGAGATTGCCAGGGCGGGTTCTAAAGTTATTGGGGGATAGTTCTTGTGCATTCTCAATTTGTTGATTTACATGTTCCTTGGGGATTCTTATAGTGGGCATTCTCATAGTTCCTTGGGCTTTGGTTGTGTCGATTTACATGTGTCAACGGTGGAATTTGGCCTCCAAAGGCTCTGGGCCTCCAAAAGAAATCGGAGCTATTGAAACAGTCGGACCTTATTCGCAGAGTCCATGAGTGAATGAGTAGTAAGCCTTTGCAAACCTTGCCAGCAATCTGGTGATCCGACTGTCTCAAAGAACAACAATATAAGCCCGGGACAAACGATGGTTGAGCAGAACGGAAAGCGACAATCACCCCCTAGAATCAACTTGGCTGTGGAAAGCTGGGTAGGCTCACTTTTTGTAACACTATGGGAATCACTCTTTAAAGTGACAAACCAATCACAATGTCCACTTTGGCATCGCATAAATACATATAGGTCTACATTTTTGTTTGAGGGTACCCTTTTTGCATGGGTTTACAGGGAAACCACCAGGAAAACCCAAGCCATTTTGGCAAGTTCGTTAAAAAAGAGACACACCCATTTTCATCCATTTTGTTAAGAATATATTTTATTTTCCCCCTGTTGGCTTTAAAGGGGATCTATCACTACTGGAATGTTTGTTGTTTTTTCCAGGGGGCTGAAGCAAATGGAGGAAGAGGTGTTCCATTTTCTCGGGGGAAAAAAGAAGAAACAAGCCCAGTCCCAGTGGGCCTTCTTTCAGCTCTTTGGGTAGAGGGTTGCCCCTGTGAGCTTCTGTGCTTCTGTGCTTTGGCACCCACGTTTTTTTTCGCCACCACGCATCAACCAATAACTCTAGGGGCTGATTCCCCATTCTTTTCAACCATGATTATTTTTAATCACTAGCCGTTTTCCCGATCGGGTTTCCGGAGGTTTTCCAGAAAGAAGGATCCCTGGAAAGAATGGGACAGTGTCCCCTAAAAAAAACAGAGACCCATGTTGTTCACACCCACGAATCATCCAACGGATCGGCGTTGGGGCCTCAGTTTGGGCGAGGATCACGCCGCTTCTGGCGCAGCAGCGCGCGGTGCTCGACAAGTTGGCGGCGTTGGAGCATGTGTCGGAGGAGCGGAAGCAGAGCCATGCATGGGTGTCGGCCGTTTGCGCATGTTCTTCCATCTGCTTAATAATATGTTTAAAAAGCAAATCCCCTGTTGGTTTTAAAGGGTATGAATGACTACTGGAATGGTTTTCTCATTTTTTCCAATGGACTTAAGCAAATGGAGGTTTTGGGTGCTTATTTGTGGGCTCCTCCCAGACGATATTATGTTTTTGGGTAGACTAAGTATGGAACATACTCGGAACGTGTTTGTTTTTGGACCGCAGATGTGGGCCAAGCTATAGTTTGTGTCCCTCTTTGCGGTTTTGAGCATCACCAGTTTTGCTCATGTAGGGTCAGTTTTCTTTGGTAGGGGGAATGTCTCGAAAAAAAAAATATGGGCAACCCTGACGTTTCGTGAGGAAGCTGACATGACCAAAACAGGTTGCGTTTTAGTCAATTTGGGGTGCTGGTTCCAAAGGCCAAAATGTTAACCTTGTTCTACTGCGTCTTTCGGGGAACTGAAGGGTCAATGAAGGTCTTGAGTAATACATAGGAATACGCGCAGTCAACAGCTTACCTTGACCAGCTGGGTCAGAAGATCCGCTCCCGATATATCAAAGCGGGTGTTCTTGTTGGGATGTGTCTGTTACGGAAGCCTATTAAAGGGACATGTTGATGGGTTCTCCCAAAATACGTATGGAGCTTGGTGGTTTCCTTGTACACTACCGTTTCGAAGGAAAATGTTGGGGATGTCACCTTTGGAACCCTATACTTAAAGAGGCAGAGTACTGAGTAAGTGGTTGGTAAGCCTGGTTACAGCCCACTTACCATGGTTGTAAGTCGAAGTGGGTTATAGCCAGCCTTACCAACCACTTACTAAGTACCCTGCCCCTTCAAGTAGGATAACAGCAACATGCTCATGGTGGCTCGAATTCAACCTGGGAGGCCAAAGAGAAGGAGGAGGCGTTGCTTCGGGCCGAGCTGACCGAGGCGAGTTGGCGAGGGGTGGCAATGCAGCGCTGAGGGTCACAACGAACCTTCAGACAACCCTAACTGGAAATTACATGCACCACAATGAGGATGACCAAATCCACGGTCAGGGAACATGACTAGTGTGCGTTCACCTGCCGGTTCCCAAACAGACCCCTGAACTCCCATCATGAGCCATACCTTGTCGGGTTATCCACGTATGCCTTTTGCGTGTATTATATATATACACATACATGTAAACGTGTCTATATATATATATACACATGTATATATATATATATACACGTGTATAACCACATACCTATGTTTTTTGAAGGCAGACATGGGGACCGCGCTGGGTTGTTCCCGTGTTCGCCCTGAGGTCATGAACAAGCTTGCGGAGCTTGACTTCAGCGCCGACACCTTCTGGACGCCCTGGGGTTTTCGCCCGTTTTGGGGGGGCAAAAATCGGCGGGTGGGATGGGTGGCTCTCCTCAAAAAGTTTTGGTTGGCAGGGGTGTGGTCGTGTTTTGGGGGAACCCTGAGCAAGACCCTGTTGGTTGGTAGGAGGAAGCCAAGAAGAGAGGGTGCTTGGTAGCTGTAACAAGCCTGGGAGTAGCTGTGAGTTTCGGAACGCATCGATGTTCTCATAACAAAGGCGTGACCACCCTCCCAATAATCACGTAACCCTTAGGTGGTTTGGATTGGTGGATTGGGAATTTGAACGTCTGGTTCTTTTAGAGTGCAAATGGGACACCACCCTCCAAACCACCAATCCAAACCACCAATAGTTGAGGGAGGCTGAAATAGGTCAGCACCCCCCAACCACTGTTTTTGGACAGTTCTTAGACTTTCCGGACATATTGGAAAATGCATTTGGGCCATGCTTCTTGGGTTTTTGGACCACCCCCCCACCCCCTTGTCTCACCCTCCCCCGCTCCTCCCCCCCTCCTCCCCTCCTCCCCCCCCTCCTCCGGATAGCCGCTGCGGACTGGAGCTCCGCTCCGCTTTCTCCAAAGGACGGAGCTGGAGCTCTTCGCCGGCCGCGACGGCAGCGACGGAGTGCAGCGCGCCGCGGTGTGCTGGGCCTCGCTGCTGGCGTCAGGTCAGCCGTTCCAGGCGCCTCGGTTCTTCCTTTGTTTTTTTTTGCTTTGTTTCTTTTTTTTTTTTTTTTTGGGGGGGGGGGGGGTTGTTGTTGTTTTTTGCTGTTGTTGTTTCTTCTTTTCTTTGGGGGGCGTTTTTTTGTTTTTGTTTTTTTTGTTTGGGGGGGGGACTTCCATTTGCTGAAAGGAAAATGTTGTTATATTTTCCCTGGTTGGTTTTAAAGGGAATCTATCACTACATATGTGTTTTTGTTTTTCCCCAGGGGACATAAGCAAATGTTTTTTTGGGGGGTTTTATTTCTTTCCCGCGATCGGGACATCAACAAACAAAAATACGGGAACATCGGATGGGCAAATCTGATCTCGAGGGGGGATTCGGTGGGATCGGATTTTGGGCGGGAAACCCCGATTTTTTCGGGACATGTCGTTGGAAATTCGGAAGTTGTTGGTTCAAGTGAATTGGACGGATTTGCAATTTCCCTTGCGCCTGGTGATGCCCAAGATAAGGATGGGCGAAATCCACGAAGATCGGCACCGGTTGGGATTGGTCCGGATTTCGAGGTGTGCGTTTGGGTGGATCCCTGACAGAGGGAAGCCCCAACCCCAAGTTATGACGCGTCCTGGCTTTTGGATCCGATATGTAAAACGAGCTCACGATGTAGATCCTTTACTTGGCTCAAGTTCCCATGGAATTTACTGCAAGTTCCCATGGGTTTGTGGTTCAACATTTAAGGAATCCGGCGTAGGGTGGGAGTGTTCCTCACAAAAGTGATCCGGCTGCCCTCATATAGATCTTATTATTATAGATGGGAATTTCAGACCCCAAAAGTCATGAGCTGCAAACGACGTTTGTTGTTTTTCTGTTGGTTCCATGTTCCCGCGGCTGTGTGTGTGTGGTTTCCTTTGGTGCATTTTGAGGACTTTAACTTTTTGCCAACTAATGGGTTTTCCCTATTAAACCACTAACAGTTTAAAACTATGTAACTATTTAAAACTTTCAGCAGGGGAGCAGATTTCGCAACCGAGTTTCCTCTGGGTCATTCAAACGTCCCCTTGGGGTCAGACCAATGCCAGTTTCTCTGTTTGCCAAAGCCGAAGCCAGCTTTTTTCTCCCCAAAAGGTCTGGGATTTGAAGCCCTGGTTCTTGTAGAGGGTACATGCCTTGAACCACCAAACCACCAAACCAAACCAAACCACCTAGAGAGGAGCTGAATCAACCAACAAAAGGAAGGTCCCCCAGCTGTGCCCTTTTACCCTTTTTTGGGAGGGTTCCCCTACTAAAATGGACTACAGAAAAAAGGGTACCCTTATTCTAACCCCTCTACTGGAGGACCTAGTAGGTATACAATGGAATTCACATGTCACAGCCGGGGGCTGATGAGTTCGAGCGAAGGAATGTGAGGAAAGGTGATCAATGGCTACATTTGAACCCTTTGGCAACCAGAAGGATCAAAGAAAGCCAACGATGCAAGGAGCCAGCATGTAGGCAACACAGGGCCGGGGATCAATTGTTCCTGACCACTGGAGAGAGGGGTATTCTATCCTGGGACTGGCGGTGCCCTGTGATTTCTGAGGGTGGTTTCTCGTTTTGGCCCCAAGAAGGGGTGATTGGGTGGGAGGTTTCCCCCGTTTTCGCCCCAAGAAAGGGGGTGATAGGGTGTCCTTCACCTGACTTCTGGCGTCCTGCCTCAGGTGCTGCACAGTCGGCCTCTGCAGATGGCGGGCCAGTTTCTTCGAACGGTGCTGGCGAGCATCGGGGCGCCGGCCGAACCGGGGATCCTTGGACGTCCGAACCGAGTGCTCGATGCGGAGCCCAATGCGCTGTTGTAGAGGGTGTGCTTTTTGGGTCAGTTCTCGTTGCACATCGATTTGAGGAGCATGTTTTCAAGGCACCAATTGACTGTAATTAGTGGGGAGAGGGAAAAAGGCGGAAGGCAGCTGTTCGCGGAAGTTTCGCCCCAGCACTATTTCACAGTGGACGTTCAGGGTCATGTAGGCAGTTACGACATGTCCGACATGTCAAGAAGAATTGCCGAAAGCTCCATGTTTGCAAATGATCAGGTCACCTCCAATTGGCGGCTTGGATTGGTGGTGGGATTTGGAACTATGGCTTTAGGGGTAAATGGGGGGCACCAGCCCTGACCACACCACCAAGCCACCAATTGGTCCTAGGTTGATGGCTTCCTGAAAGGAAGGATCCCTGGAAAGAATGGTTGGTCGCAACTCACCCGGGAAGACGTACCAGTTTCAGCGGGGTGTGTGGGTCCCAGAAACAGAGGGTCCAAGTACCACAAGGCTCCTTAAAAGATACATTTTGCCCAATTGAAACATGGCATTTTCCACCCAAACACAGGGACACCACCATGTACAAGGCAATGTTCAGGTGTATAATGCATCCGGATCCCTGTACCTGAGGATGGCTTGGGAGAAAAAAGAGGTCCAAGCACCTCCTTAGGTACTTCAACCCCAGAGGGCATGACAAAGACAGCTAGAGCAGCATTGAATTTCAGAGCTAGCGGAAATTGGGCGAGGTTTTCGTGAGGGCAGTTCATACAACAGACCTCAGAGCTGTTTTCTGCAGGCTTTGAGGAGATGACACATCAAACAGGCACACATGTGTGTTTGTGTAAAATTTATTAGAGACCAGTACAATTTGGGATTTATCGGGGGGGTTATATATATATATATAGGTCCAACAGTTTTTTTTCAATGCTTATTTACTTGCGCAGAGTCGACCTTTGAACATCTTTGGAATTCCAGTACTTGTCTATCAACATGCTAACCTTATATCTCCCGGCATGCGGAAGTGGGCCTATCCCACTGCCCAACTTGGCTTCGTTTGGTTTGTTTAACTTGCTTTTTTTTGGTGTTCCACCCTCTTCATCTTGAACCAGCAAACCGTGTGTTGTTTCTTAGGGACCAAGTCTGGCCCAGCGCAAACATAAAAGAGTGCCGGAAACAAAACGCAACGCCTTGCCCAGGAAAAAAAGGAAAAGACAAAAGGACACACAAACAGATCAGATGGTCTCGGATGGGTGTGTCTAGTTGTGAACCCCTTTCGGTGAAAAGGGAATTCCTAGGAGAACCACCCCGTCACCCAGCCCAAGGATCTACGTGGTCTCAGTGATTGGCGCTCAGAGCTCTGCAAAGAGCACGCCTCTTGGCACGACCTCTCGGATGGTTCCATCAACCGACTATTTGGAGTCTTGTTCATATTTTTAGAAATGGGGTCATGACCCCTTAATTTTGGGTAACGACCCTATTTTTAAGTGTCATGGAGACTCCAAGTAGTATTACAAGAACAAGTGTGTCCTTTTTCCGCCATAGCCACTGGGGGGGGAGGTCTGGGGGAAATGGCAGGCACACCCATATATGGTTCCTTTTCGCTGGCTTGGAACATCACCTTTTGGTTGCCAACTCCAAACGAGTTTCCTTTAGGTGGGACAATGTTTCTGCAGGGACATATGGGAACCGCGATAGGGTTGTCTTTTCCCGAGTGGTAAAAACGATCTATCCCTCTATGGTTTGTCTTTACGAACAGTTTGACTATGTGATGTTAGTTGTCCCAAAAAGCCAAAGGATGGATAGTAGATTTAACTTGCTCGATCCGCCAAATAGAACCCATCATTTTGAGTGATGAGGGGAGGCCTAAACGAAATTAAACACGGTTGGTGTTCCATATCCAGGACTCACCCCTGTGCCATGGTCAGAACTTCCCGTTGTTTTGGTTTGGGAAGAATGGTCATCAGCCTCTTGACAGTAATTTGAGACAATCAATGTAATGTAGGGGTTCCTCATAAGGAAGCCATGACCCCACACAAGGAGTCTTGACTATGGCTCATACCTGGACCTTCCAGGGTTCAAAATTTTAGGCGTTGGCCAGTTGGCGTGAACAAATGCTTTTCGGGTGAAAAAACGCCTGCGGTCATATATGTTTGCGAAGCAGTCGGGAATGTTTGCCTGTTGGTCGGGATTGTTTGCCTGTTTGTCGGGAATTTTCGCCTGTAGATTTGGTGAGACTGCGCTTAACATCCAAATTGAGGAAAAAACGGCCGTAGGCGAAAACACACACGCAATTGTCCCAAAAGGCAATTCGTAGCGAAAAGGCGGACATTTTGAGCATGCAGGAAGGTCCAGGTATGAGGGTTGTCCAAAATGGAGATGCCTTTGTTGTTCAAGAACGGGGTTTCCAAAAGGCAGACCGAAGGAAGACCGTCGCAAAGAGAGACTCTTTCAGGGCAAGGGTTCAAGAAGGGCACAACGGGCCCAATGTAAAGCAAAGCCCTGCATGAGTTCGGGTGTTACTTTGGATCCGAAAACCGCTTGAGGCGAGTGACTTGACGGAACGGGCCCAGCCTTGAAGCCAAGAAGCCACGGTTCGGCCCCAGAGGGAAAAGTTTGAGTGCCCTCTACAAACTCCGTGGAACCAAAGTCGACTGATCTGATCAACACCCCCACTTAGGGCGTCCACCTTTTGGAGGTTGGGTCTTTTTCTTGGGATATGTTTTTTTGGCGTGGTGATGTTGCTTTGCATTTCTTTCTGAAACCACCCACAAACAGGGTACCAATTCCAAACCAAGCCTGAAAAGAGGTACAGGGTACCAGCAGAATGATGTTTAAGCATGTGTAAGCAAGAGCTCGGCCTAACTCTGGTTACACCCATGGTTTAGGTGAGGCAGTTTCTTTGGTTATATACCCCATGTTTCTCTGGTTGTGGCCGAAAAATAGCTGAGGTGTTTTGTCTCCATCAGGGTAGTGGAAGGAACTCCAGATGGACAACATTCCTCCAGATGGATTTGCGCTGAGGGGACTGAGGGGTCAACTTTACTACCTGACTGTTGCCTTATCTTTTTCAAGATAAGGGGACCTCCAAACATGGGTGATTGTATTTTGACTTCCCGTCGAAGCCCCAAACACTTGCTGGTTCTCAGGCATGAGGGAATGAGCCCAAACTGAACAATGCCCTGTGGCTTGCAAGGGAATCCCCAGGTTCATTCCAAAATCCCGCTTGATTCCGCAACCAGCAACGGGATGCAAGTCAACGTCAGCCATTCGGATCGACGTTCTTCGTTGCTCTTCGGTTTTCATGGGCACAGACCCCGCCAAAAACGACGGTTTTCAACCAGCAACCCCCACGACTGCGTTTTCCCTTGTCCAAGGTCCCAAGTACTGTCCAGCATAACTCTGCGGTTGGAAGGTGCTGGGAAATTATCGATGTCAGACAATTTTGAAAGACAATTTTGGGAGGGAAGCCATGGGATATGAGTCAGACGAACACAAATCACCCTGAGGGTCATGACCCCTCCAATGCAGACCCCCGGACCCTCCAATGGAGAACCCTGACCAATTCCTCAGGGGCCCTCAAAAACCAACCCCATTTTGAGGGCCAACAAAATCATAGTCTGACAAACAAGGGAAAACACACCTGAAATAACATAACATAACATATCGGGGGAGATCTATGGGGCATCAGTCAGACAATCCAAAAAAGACACCGAGAAAATCCCACCGCCCGTCGGGTCGATTAAAGCAACCCATGGACCATTTTGAAGGCCCAACATCTTCGTCTGACAAGCCAAAAAAAGTCGCCGAGACATCCACCGCCCCTCGGGTCTCGGACTCCGAGGCTTTTGAACTTCCTCTTCGGCTCGGGCTTCGCAGTGGCCTCCGGCCGCTGCACCCGAGGCCGGAATCCGGCTCGGGATGAGTGCGTGCGCGGCGGGGCCGGTTCGTTTTTTTGTTACGGAAAACAACAACCGGAAAAGGCATTCATGTTCGGGGAAAACGAGTTTGAACACCACCCCGCAAATATTTGACGGTTTTGAGCAGCGCGCCCGGAATCAAATGTTGTTCTCCCCGAGTCTAAGGTCTGTTGCCAGTGGGACATTTCCCAGGACCCTTCGAAGCCTTCGATCCCCTCCCCCAAGCCCAGAAGGAGGTCGAAGTGCGAGTAATCCACGGTTTCGGAGGGATGGCCCAGTGGGAATGTTGAAAGAGCGCACTTGTTCCGGGCGCTGTGTCGGGTTGCAGAGCTGGCTGGATCCTTGGGGTTAAACCTATGGGGGTTTGTCCTCACAAGCGAGTGGAACCATGACCCTGGAACCAACCTGAGGTTAGAAAAGGACAACAACCACATGTGGACGCCCTAGCTGGCAGAAAACCCCTGAAATAGCTGGCAGATGAGGAGAGACTTTGAAAGTCAAAAAACATCCTGGCGCATGCCAGTAGAAATCATGAAGAACCCAACAGACCCTGCCTGGCATTTTGTTGTTTGATCTCAAAGGGAACTCGGTGGCAGGGCAAAACATGTGGTGCCCTCTTTGGTAGGCCTCTAAGCCGACCCAAGGAAGCAACCCACCACATGTCTGGTCTTTCCCCCCTGATTGATTCAAACCTATCCACTCGAACATGCCCGGATAAATGCCTTTTCCTTTTTCGATCAATCTATAAGAGCTTTCCTTTCCAAAATCAGGATCCCTCTAGTTTCAAGACCCGGTCAACTTGCGCCACAAGCGCCACTTGCTTGCGCTGGTGGCTCTTTTCGCGATTTCGCTCCGATTTCGCGCGCTGTTCTTCCGCCGGCCGAGGCTTATATGCCTCCTACTTTGTGATCCACCACCGCCCGGTGCTGGTCTTGGACTCCGAAGGCGCGAGATTTCCGTTGTTGGGAGCCCAAGGTAGGCGCTGAACACCCAGGGGTTCCTAGGGAAGTTCCGCCAGCAAAATTTAACCACCTGTAGGTGTATATATAACTAGATCCATTTTGACCCTTCGGTTTTAGATGACAGCAACCCCTAGGTTTAAGTGGATCCTCTTTGAGCCTTAAAACCAGGGAGTTTCTATTAGGGAAATCAGCCAGTTCTAGGTTTAAGTCTACCTTGAGGTCAAAAGTGACCCCCTGGGTAAAGTAGCTTCCAACCATGGCAGGAAGGTCTGAGCTCGCCCCGGAGATGAAAAACACACACACACACATTTTGGGGTTTGGGACCCAACGCCAATCGGGAGCCAAGCGGGACCATAGCTTCAGGTTCCTTTTGGAAAAATAGATGGCACTAGGGTAAATGTTGAGAACCAAATTGGAAACCAGTGCCATCCTTTGTCAACTAAACGGACACCAAACTGATCGATGGGACTTTGTGCACTTTCATTGGAAAGAGGGCACCCTGGCCTCTGGTCCCTCGTCATCACATCGGTCTGCGGGCCCCTACTGTTCTGATGCGATTCCCAAAGCCTGAGTCGCAACCTAGGAGCGTGCAAGTGGATTTCCTAAGTTACACTTACCACGTTACAGCATATGGCTGTGGCTCAAAAAACCGGTACCAAAACGGAACCCGGGTAAGTGGAAACATGGACCAAAACCTGCGGTTTGCCCCTCCTGGTTAATTTTGAGCCACACCCATATGGGTGTGTTTTGCTGGCTCTGTCAATCTTTGTTCTGTGGTTTTATTGCACCAAAAGGGAGCCCGAATTGCCATGTGTTCCACCGCTTTTTGACGCGCCACATCCAACCGATTTTCAGGTCACCCCTAATTGCTGGTTTGAACCCCTGGTTCTGGAGACAAATCGCTTTTTAAACAACAATACATATAGTGAATATGATGTATGTATGCTTATTTGAACCGTATATGATAGTAGAATAAATTAATTTTATTGTTTAAACTATTAGTACGTACTGGAATATCATTTGGAATAATGATTTGTTTGATGTTTCATGATTTATTTTCAAATATTTCCAAACCACTGGGCTCCAAACCACCAACCGAGGGAAGCTGAGATTCATATGTTTTTTTGGGGGGTTCCCCGGGTTCCTTGTTTGGACTGTTTCTGGGGGTTCTCAAAGTCAGAACATGCGGTTGCTTTCCTTCAACCAACCCACCTGGGTGCTGACTTTGAAGGTTTCCAATCACCAGCCAGTGGTAACAGTCATGGGGGTTGGAGGGTCAAAGTCAGCAAAGAACGAGGGGTTGCTTCCTCTGACTTTGGTAAAACTCATGAGCCCAGGGTCTGACTTTCATCTGGCTCGTTGTTGGGGCGTCAGCCCGCCACTTCGGGGCTGACCCGAGTCCCACTTGGGGCGTGAATCAACCAAACAACCAACCAACCAACCAACCAACCAACCAACCAACCAACCAACCAACTTATCAAACTCAGCACGTGGGGTTGTTTTCCTACAACCCGCCACTTAGCTTGTTAACTCCTAGCCATTCCCTTAGCTTTTTGGCCTTTTAGTGGTTTAGTGCTAGTTTCCGAATTGAACTCGCTAAAAGTTTGTCACTTGTAGCGGGGAATCTGAACACGGGCAGCCCAGTTACGTAAACAGGGCTCCTTAAACGATCTCCATTTTGCAACCATTTCAATCATGTTGCTTTTTCAACAAAAACAAAGAAATGGAAACCACCATGTACAAGTTGCAATCTTCAGGTGTTGTCATGCATCCGGATCATTGGTAAAGCTCGTGGGCCCCCCCCGCGTTCCCCGAGCCTCGTTCCCCGCGCGGCTCGCAGGGCTCTTGTCCTTGGGCTCCGAGGGCTCCACCTTCGACGGGCAGATCGCCATGCGCCTCAACGCGCAGTACGCATCGACGGGGCCCCCCCGCGGTGTTTTTTGTTTTTTTGTTTTTTTTGTTAAGGCCGGTCTTCCATTTATGTCAGTGCTTTAAACACATATATTTGCATATATATATATATGTTTTGTGTTGCGTGTTTTTGAAGGTTGGTCTTCCTTTTAATTCCTGTTGGTCTTCTCTTTGAACCCCGGAATGTGGTGTATACAGAAAACAAACAACACCCACCAAAAACCATGATCATGAGGGTTCCTTGCTCAAGAATGGTGGTGTTTTAAGCTTGGTCTTCCTTTTTAAACTCCGGCAAATGGCCAGGTTCCTGTTGGTCTTTCAAACCCCGGCAACATGTGTCGGTCTTCCTTTCTGACCCTCGGAAATAAGCGGATTTCCTGTTGGTTTCCTTTCAAGCCCCGGAAAATGACGGAGTTCCTGCTGGTCTTCTTTTTTCAACCCCGGAAAGTTTTGGATTTCCTGTTGGTCTTCCTTTTTAAACCCCGGCAAAACGACGGGGTTCCTGTTGGTCTTCCTTTTTAAACCCCGGCAAAACGGCGGGGTTCCTGTTGGTGTTCCTTGAAACCAACCCAGAAAAACCTCGAAAATGGTGGGTTCCTTTTGAAATTCAAAGAGAGACCTTGGAATGGCTCTTCCCAGCAGTGAAAATGGGCCCTGCCAGGGTTTCCCGGGTGTTCCCTAAGAGAGGACACCCCAGAATCTGCAAGCGAGTGAATGAGGCGGTTGTTGTGAGCCTTTCGGGGAAAATTGGCTTCTCCGTTTGGCTTGAAGCATCAACAAAGCCGTCGTTTCGTATACATCACCCTTTTGGGTGGCCTTCGAGTTTCCTTTCCGGGCATGAGTTGGAAGCCGAAAAATGGCTGGCAGCTGAAGCCCCTGCCTCCAAACCCCCAACGCAGCTTGGTGCTTGCAGCCCGCCACATTGTGGCACGGACGAACGGAACTCGGTAACACGAGGAGAAACAACGGCACAGCTGTTCTAGGTCCCCCAGCTAGGTGCCCGTCTTAACCCCTTTTTTGGTTGGGAGGGTTCCCCTTCTAAAATCGACAAAAGCGAAAAAGATGGTAGCAACCTATTCTAACCTCTCAAATCTGGAGGACCTAGTGTGTTGGCCAATGCCAAAGTCAATGGCTTGAGGTTGCGAGTCGGAAGTGAGTGGCCAGCCGTCACATAAACGGGGCCTCTTGGCCTGTCCGGACATGAAGGTCGGTACGCCCGGACGTGTTGTTGCCACAGTTCAATCGCTAGAATAGCAACGTGTCCCTTCCTTTCCAACGTTGCCAATCTGGTTTAGTGAGAAGCGTTTGTTTGTTTGTTCCCCAAGTGCCAGTCTGGTCTAGTGAGAAGCCGTTGTTTTTTTCCCCCCCAAGTTCCTTGGACATCTCCGAGGATGTGCATGACCTGTAGCCACCTGGTTCTGGTGAACAACAAGGGCGAGCTATCCCGACAGCTTCAGGCGGGATAACGAGAAACGAGGCTTCACCGCCAGACCCTCTAAGACGTGCTTGAGTCATATGTTGCTGGTTTCTAGCGGTTTGTGGAGGACACCTCTACCGGATTTTAGGCTACAATCACTTTGAGCATGTCAATTGTGTAATCACTTCTTCCTATTAATCAACCTACTCCGAATAATAAAACTCCCCCGAGCCGCGTCAAAAGCCCCCAAAATATGCTTATTAGGGGTCCCCCCTCCAGAGTGTGTTGACACAAGAAGGCTCCACGTTTTCTTTGACACCCAAGGGTTGCCATGTGCGACAACCCAACACAAGCAAATAATTTTATGAAACTGACCATGGGACACTCCCTTTCGAAGTTCTTACTTGAAAGTTGCAATCTGAGCAGTTTTTGCTCCAAATCAAAGGAGATCCACTTTCCAATACAAGTCCAATACTAAACAGCAAACTATCAACTGGATCTAGGCCCACACCGGCAACCCCTAATAATAAAACTCATCCCCAAGTTCTGTTATTTGCGGGGGGGACAGTGTTTTTTTTTTTTAGGGAGAAGCGATTGGCCCTGAATATACCTGTAAGCTCTCACAAACTAGCCCATGCAAAACCTTACAGAACTCGCAAACCGCCACAATTTTGCGGGGGGTCCAGTGGATGACGGGCCAACCCTAGGGGCAGGCGCAGAGTTTCACCATGGCTTCACCCCGAAAGTTGTTTTGCATAGCGAAGGGCCCGTTGCTGAACCGTTCCCAACACCGTAGGTTGCAACCCAACGAATCAAAGGGCACTTCCCGGAAGTCCAAGCTGGTGGTTTGCTTTGGCCTTCAGGAAGCCTGCAGACTGCGAGAAGCCAACCATGCCGGTTTGGGGTACAAGTAATAGTAGTAATAGTAGTAGTAGTCAGTAGTAGTAGTAGTAGTAGTAGTAGTAGTAGAAGAAGAAGAAGTAGTAGTAGAAGCAGTAGTAGTAGTAGTAGTAGTAGTAGTAGAAGTAGTAGAAGTAGTAAGAAGCACCCTTCAATTCAGATTGTTCAAGGACACCTTGCATTTTATAGATTGCCTGCTATCCCCTGTGTCTTTGTGAATTCTTGAAATGCCCCCCCCCCCCCGTACACATGCAACACACTGCCATGTGACAGCAAATTAGTTCCTTGGTGTGTCATTTGGCGTGTACCCTCGTTTGGGTTGGTTGTTTTGAGAAACAAAACAGAGCCCGAAGCATTGCCAGTTGCGTGGCTTTCAAGACAAACCTTTAGTGTATATATATATATATATATGTATGTATACACATATACGCATGTGTGTATATATCTACAAATAATTATATCTACACATTGTCCCTCGTTTTCCCCTGCTGTGACTTTCTTCGATTTCCCCCCTTCTGTGTTTCCAACCATCATACTTGGGCATTTTAGTGGCAATGCTACTTGGTCGCATCTGTGACCTTCTTTGTTGGGAAGATAAGTGCCTTTTCCCACTAGCCCACAAAAAGTTTCACTCACTTTTCGCTTTAGTGCGCTGTCGTCGTAAAAGTTTCACTTTGAGGCAACCTTGGGATCCACAGAAAGTGAGCCAGAGTCTGCCTGGTCCCTTTCAAGGGCACCTGGTTTCCTTAGGTTTCCTTCAAAGTGTAGTTTGTTTTGGTTTCCTTTGCAACTTTGCATAGTTTCTTTTGGTTTGGTTTGGTTTCCTGACACGAGGACCTGCTGGAGGTGTGCCTCTTTGCCATGAAGCATTTGCGCCTCTCGCGGCTCCAACCGCGCCTGGTCTTCGTGCTTCGGGACCAGCACGACCGGTCCCGGGCCGTGCACGCGCCTAGGCTGATGCGGAAAGCGGGTGGTTGCAACATCTGGCATATCTGTTTTGGTGTTGGTCGTTTTGTTTTTTCTTTAAACCGCAAAAGAGATATGGGTATGGCTCAAAATTAAAGAGCTGGGGATACGCGGGTTTTAGTCTTTGGTTCCATTTACCAAGGTGCCATTTTGGTACCACTTTTTTCGAGCCACAGCCATATACCCTCAAAAAGAGACCCACCCAGTTGTTTAAAGACCTGGCCCACTTCAGCGGGAAGCACTGGAAGCCAGCGTGCCATGAAAGAAGGATACACATTTCTTTTTTCTGCCAAGCGACTGTCAGCACCGCCCAACTTCTTGTGGACACGTTGGGCTGAGGACATGAGCAACCTTGGGTTCTAAGTGGAATGAACCTCGCAGGTTCGGGCGGAGGCGCAGATTTTGAGGTGAATGTGGTTATAGATAGATGGCACGGGTTTCGGGTTACAAGGGCAGTGATTTTTGGAAAAGCACCGCTTCAAGGAGGTTGCCTCCCAGGAAGGCCTTGTAACCTCGTCAAGCTGATTTGGAGGCCACCAGGAGGAGGGGGGTTGAATCATATTGACCTTGGTCTAGTAGGTTAGACCCTTTTCCAGATGCCCATTGGTTAAGAAGATGCATCTAATATCTTTTTCAGAAGTTGACATCATACCCTAAACATAGGGGATTGGGATTTTAGGGTGGAAATGCTGTTGTGCATGGAGTTCGGAAGATTTCTCATAATTTTACAAGCCTGTCATGTGCATCCCATCCTATCATGTGTAGCCAGGATGTCCAAAACTAGTTTTTTCGGCCAAACTGGACACCTGAATTCTATCGTTTGAAGCCTTTCACCAGAATCGTTTGTGCCAAAATAACAAACTGCATGCACATCATCAGGAATCCTATCTCGTTTGTCGTGTGTGTTTTCTTGTTTCCGCCGTTGCAATTGATTGCGACAGCTCACTATGATTTGCATTTGTACTGTGTTCTGGAAATAGTCTAGTTGCCATTTTGTTACCCTGCCCACTAGAATCCTGATCAATCAAGGCACACCCAAAAGCGGAGGAAGGGACATGAAGATGCGTTGGATTGTCTGTTTGGTTTCCCAAGGTTCCTCGGCTGACCTCGTCATGTTTTCAATTGAACGACTGGTTCTAGGACTCCCCCAAACAGATTGCGACTTTGGGGTGTCCACTTGTATCGATCTACCTGTTTCAACACTCCCGAAACTTCATTGGAGTCCTGCTCAACCGCATGGCCTTTCTTTGGGCGGGGGTGACTGGTCACCTTAGTCCGGTTTTAAACTGTCCCCAATGACTATCTCATGGTTTGCGTGATCATCTGATCTCGTTTCTGGGTGGCTCCGGGAGCCATCCGGTTCCTTAGCCTTTTAGATCTTTTTAGCGTTCTTCGCGGTAGTTTCCGTATTTAACCCGCTAAAAGTTTTAAACTTTTAGCGGGGGAGCCGAAAACGGGCAGAGGTTTGGGGGTATGGGGTTCACTTGACAGCCAGTGACTGCAGCGTTTGCTGGTGGCCTCGGGCTTAGGGTTGGGTTACGCTGGCATGGAGAAGGTCACCCAGCTTTTGTTCAGTGGCCGCAGGTCTAGGTCCCTCAGCGAAAGGGTGCCCGACCTCTGCCCGCTTTTTTGGTTGGGAGGGTTTGGAGAGTTCCCGTACTAAATGAGACTACTGAAAAAACAGGTACCCTTGTTCTAACCTCTCTACTGGAGGACCTAGAGGTTGATTTCATAACCCAGTGCTGTCTTGCGAAAACCTTGGTGTTTGGGCTGCTTATATCCATGGCAGACGGTGAAAGCAATTTGTGGATGGCAAAGTGCGCAAGCACGACACGGGTCCTTTCAGTGCCGAAGCCTCTGAACCGCTCGATCTCGACAAAACTGACGCAGTGAGACCGGATGTTTTTTACTTTTATTTTCTGCGATTGGGGATCAACCTTCGAGCCAAGAGTTTTGTTTGATTCAAGCATCCACAGGTGTAGAGTCGTTTTGTTTTCGAATTGCATGGCCGGCTTGGGTTGGGCCGGTCTTGACAAAGAGTACGGAGTTTTCGAGCCGGGCATTTGGGGAGCAGCAATGGTTGCTGTTTCTGTTTGCTGATATATTCACCAACAATGCATTCATGATGCAGGTTGTGGGACGGTTTTTGGAGATGTTGATACTCGAGAGTGAACAGTTTGGAACCTTCGAGTGCACGCGGATTTTAGGAGAGTTGGCCCAACTCCATTGCAAGTAGCTTTTGCAACGGCCGGTGTTTGTTTCTTTCCAAGTGAAATTACTGACTTAGGGGGAAGCAATATCCATCTAGAAACAGCAGACTCTGATCACTGTTGCCATATCCCAGCCCTCTCCCACTGTTTCCTTATTTGGGAGCCAGGAAACCAGGCGTTTTTGCGGGTGGACGGGCGTTACTGGATAGGGTGTTGCGGGGGTTGGGATCCTGTGACTTTTGGTCATGGTAAATCCCTCTGTTGCCAAGGTGGGTCAGGCAGCGGCCCCTTATGCTTTGCCTCTCCCACTGGATTGGCAGATTTGCAAATCCTCTCAGTGGATTGGCCCCCCAGTTTGTCCAAAACTCTGAGGAATCCTCCCTCTTGAGTGGATTGGCCCCCATTTTTATTCAATAACTCTTCACCTCAGGGAGAATTGATGAATTTGCCAATCCAGTCAAATCCTCTGAGTGGATTGGCTCCCCCCCCATTTTGTTTTTTGCCCAAAGCTCCCCCCCAGTTCCTCCCACTTGAGTGGCTTACCTGTTTGAATAGCTCTTCACCTCCCCCCCCCCCCATTTTGCACAAAGCTCCCCCCTGTTTGAAGAACTCTTCACCTGAGGAAGACATGCTGAAGCAGATGAAGAACAACTTAGAAGAGGCCGCCCGCACTTTAGGCTCGCCCCTCCAGGCGCGGGAGTTCGGGACGGAGTCCACGAAGAACGTCGGGGCTTTCGGGGAGGGGCAGGAATCCGCGCAGGGCGCAGGTGTCGCAGAAAGGAACCCCTCAAAATCGTGGTGGTTGAACTTGTGGTTTCCAATTGTAGAACAAAACCCTAAAATTCGGTACCCAGTTGAAACTGCATGTTTCTGTTGAGGGTAGATTTGAGGTCCGGTGTCGGTTGATTCCCAAGTTTTTGGCTGGTTCCCAAATGGCTGGTCAAAGATATGTGCCCAACATGGCTTGCCCTGGTAAGTGGAAACATGGACCAAAACCTGCGGTCCACTTCCTGCTGGTTCAATTTTGCCCCATACCCATCTATCACCCAAATTGACCGCTAGGATACCTAGTCACAAGTACGCATCTTGCAACAGGATCGGCAGGTGTTGGTTCCGCCTATCGACCTCAGCCCCTGCCGGTTGTGTCTTTGTCGTTCTTGAAGCTCCCCTTTTGGGGTGGCTCACTTGCCCAAAGTACCTGAACAAACAAAGGCTAAGCTTTTGGAACCTCGACCGAATATGGAGCCTTACATTATACACCTGAACATCGCAACTTGCAAATGCTGGTTTCCCTTTCTTATATTTTGGTGTTGAAAGAAAAAGGCCACCTGTTTCAACTGGCTGCCAACCTCGTCATTTCTCCGGTCGTCCTTCGCTTCGCTTCGCTCCAGCAGCCGGTCCTTCGGGCCTCGACGCCGACCGGCGCCAACCGGCGCGACGCGACGAGGACCTCATTCTGCTGGACGGCACCGCGGTCTTTCTGCTGCCCTCCGCCATGAGCTCGGAGCTGCGCCAGGGCCGGGAGGCGGTTGGGACGGGGCGGGGACGGCGGGAGGCGGCCGGGAGGCGGCCACCGGAAACAGCGGCGCCCAGCTCGCGTTTTCGAGAGAGGCGTGGGGTTTGGCGCCTGGAGGTAATATAGTTGAGTCAAAAGCACCGAGCAAAAATAAAAACCGGGGGGTGTCTTTGACTTTTGGAGGAGTTGGTATCCTTGATTTTTTATGGTGCTTTTTGGGGGACACCAAGAGACGGGTTTTTTAAGGAGTTAGTACCTTTTGTTGTTTATGATGTTTTTTGTTGCGGGACACCAATGGAAAACCACATTTTGTTGGTGGGCACCAAGGGAAAAGAAGAGCCGCTCATGTCTAGTGCCGCGGAAGGCACATCACCGCTGTTGAGCACATTTTGGCTGGATTTTATTGAGAAACCTCCAGAACTGCAGTTGCTGTGGAGTTCGATTCGGTTCCCTTTGCTGCTTGTCAGTCACTGACCTGAAAATCGAGCAACGTGAGGGGGAAATTCGAAAGGGGCCAAATCCACACTCATGATTCTTTGATCGAATTTGGTTTCTCATGTTGTATCCAGGCCTATTCTATTCTGTTCCCATAGCCTTTCCGGTAAAGCATGGAATGACCAGGAAGATGAGCAAAGAGTCGGTGGAGGGATCGCTTTCATTTGCTTCGAATTCTAGCCCCCTTGAAGTAGTAAGCTGCAGTGATTTCTGGCTTAAGCCGTGGCTTTTTTGGGAGATTCTGACCAGATGAGTGGCACCTAGCCAAGGGAACGTTGCGGTTTGATTTTTGTTGGGGGGCAATTGTGAAGCTGTGGTTCAACCGAGGGCTTACTTACTTCAGTGGTGCCCTGTTGTCATTTGTTGCGATTGTGTCTTTTCGCTTTTTGTGCGTCCCTTGATTTTGAACCAACCAACAAGACATGGCTGGTCTTTGGTGTAGCCCTAGGCCCCTTGGACCCTTTGGACACCTCGTGTTTGAGCGGTATCTGGACTGACTTTTTCCACTTAGGTCACTTGGGTCACTTGGGTGTATCTGCCACTTGGGTCACTTGGGTCACTTGGGCTGCGGGAGCATCAGTTGAAAACTGCCTCTTAGGCCACGTGGGTCACTTGGTCACTTGGTGCCCACCTTGCCAGGAGACCCATGTGACCCAAGCGAGCCAAGACGTCGGGTAGCGTACACGAAATCCTGGCCTGCACAAACGGCTGTTTCATACCAGCAACCAAGAACAGGGTATCCTTATTTTTAGGCCACAGCTTGGTGCCGAAACGCCGTTTCGGAAAAGGAAGATCCGCTTCGCACCTATCATCCCATGGTACGTGTGTTTTTGGCGCCCTTGTTTCCAATTGTTTTAAAGGGAACCACAACCGCAACCCCTATACAGTCTTGGGGTGCGCCATTTTGGCACATACCTATATCAGACCAGACAAACATGGACAGAGACAGACGCAATGACACTAACAATCATGCGGTCAGTCAGCCAGCCATTCAGTCAGTGAGTCTACCAAACAAAGAAACAACAGCAAGCAATCAAACACACAAATAAACACACACACACAGGCACACCACGCACACTGCAAAAAGAACGGGGGCTACATCTGCCGCCACAGGTCTGCTGGACCAGCGAGCTCTTCGCACGGGAGGTGCTGAAGCTCCGGTCCGAGGTCTTCCGTTGGCTCCGGGAGGATGGCGAAAGGCCGGGAGGATGGCTCGCTCTTAGTTCGGGGGTGGGGGGGGGCTCGTCTCTTCATGGTTGTTGTTGGGAAACTTTTTGCTTGTTGGGGTTTAGTGGGAAATCCCCACATAACAGAACTGCTGATTTTTTGTTTTTGCTCCCCTTCCAACATCGACCAAGTTTTTTGGGCGGGGACCAATGCTATGCTTGAACTCTGGAACCGCCACCCTCCCCCATTCCAACGTCCATAGAGACAAAGGCCCTTTCTATAAACGCCTTTCTTGTTAAGGCCTTTTGAATCCCAGGGTAGCTGTTTGGGAGGGAGCCAAGAAGCTGGGGCCAAGGAGCTGGGGCCAAGGAGCAGGGACTATCCAAAATTGCTTTTAAAGAGGGAACTAAGGAGCTACCAAAAGTTCTGTGAGGACATGGTAGCTTTTTGAAGGGAAACCGATAAGAAAGCCGAAATCCATTTTGGGGGGTCCCCAAAAATAGGGGGTGGGAGAACCAAGAGGAGAACCGAAATCGTCTCGTTTTTTGGTGGAGGAGACCTTTTCTTGCTGGAGCGATAGGTAGGGAATGCGGGGATGAACCCAGGGGTCCCCTGAAAAGAAACCACAAGGCATGGTTTATAGGGGTCATTCTCTCATTTTTTGCTGAGCACCAGCAAGTGTTGAAGGTAAACCCAAAACGAAAGCATAATTGTTTTTCTTCCCCCACTTTGGAGAACCCCGTATCTTCATTGCCAACATGTAACCCTCGCCGCTTGAATCGCTGCGCCCACCTTTGTCTGGGAGTTTCGTTTTAAATAGAGCGCTTCACGTTTGTTGATTGTGTGCAAAGCATGGGATCCTTTCCGCAAAGGAGAGTCAAAATAAATACCCAAGTATAGTTAAAGGTTAGTCGGGGACAGTCCGAACCATAAATGGGTGTGGCCGCCCTTTCAATTGGTCTTGCAGGAGAGTCAACCACGACTCCGGGTTCCTTTTTGCAAACTGTACGCAACCTATGCGCTTGTTTGTTTTGCCGAAATGACCTACCGTGTGGTTGAGAGTAGATATGGCTGTGGGTCAAAAATAGGTACCCCAAATGGAACCCTGGCAAGTGGAAACATGGGCCAAAACCTGTGGTTTTCCCGGTGGTTTAATTTTGACCCATACCCATGTGGTGAGCATCTTGGTCTCCAACTGTCCAGATCGGCTTTTCACCATCTTACGCAGCTGGTGGCCACCTGGAAAACTGGCTGCGTCCACCTTCCGAGCGCCTTTTTGGCTTTGATTGTAGGCATTCTGGCGCCCGTTTGTGTGCCCTTCGTGCAAAAGTGGTCTGATTCCCCACAGGGACACCCCACTATCATCCCCTATCAATAAACTGGCTGGTTGATATTGGGGTCAGTTGTGCAAACAGCTCTTCTGGCTTCGGACCTGCCCTACCCTTTCCCCAGGCGCGCGCAAAGCGGCGGCGAGCTACCGGAGCAGCTGGGCGTGAGTCATTCTGACCGGTTTGTAAGCTCTGTTGCCCAGTGGTGCCCTTTTTCTTTCTTTTTGGGGTAATTAAGGGTTCCCCTTTAAACTTAAGCAACAAGAAAAGGGCGCCCTTTTTTTTCTCCCATGACCACTGGGCATCTGAGTAAGGCAGTCAAAGCTCCGTGGAAACCAGTCTCCTCACCCAGCTTCCTCCCCCCCAATCCGTGGCTGCTTCGAGCGCTGGTTGGTGTGTGGTGTGTGTTTTCGGTCTGGACACCCCACAGGACACCTTGGGTTCTTCAGATCCATCCACGGAGATCGGTTCTTCGGGGCTCTGAGGTTCTCCTCCCTGGTGCAGTGGTTCGACTACGCCACCACAGTCTGGGAGACCTTGGATCAGTTTGGCCAGCAGCTGCTGCACTGCAGGCGCGGCCTGGGTTTTGGCCATAGGTCGGGACTGAGAAATGGAAGGACCCTGACTTACCTCTTAAAAACACCACTTTTCTCAACTTTTTGGGGGTAACATGGGCTATATGTCTGTAAAAGGTTAACTTCCCCAGGGCTTGGAGTTTTAAGGGGTAAGCTGATTTACACCATCCAGGTGGTGGTTGCGTCCGGCCAAGTGTGTATGTTGTTGTTTGTGTTTTCCTAAAAACAACAGCAAGGTACGCCCGGCCAAGTGTGTATGTTGTTGTTTTTTTCTTCTGCCACAAAACAGAACAGCAAGGCATGTCGGGACTGAGAAATGGAGTCTGACCCCGATGACCACAGCATCCAACGTGGTGGGTTTCGTTGATTCGAAAAGGAATCCCAAAACGGTTCATTCAACCACAGTCACTACCTATCGCAGCAGCATGTGTTTTTTCTTTGCGAAGACCAGACCAGCGAGGTATGGCCAAGAGTCGTAAGGTGTTGGTAATCGGGTTTATTATGCCAAAGGGCTCACTGGAGGTCGACACACCGGTTTGGCATTGTTTGGGGTTGAAAAAGCTGGTTCCGCAAAATACAAACTGTTCAACTTGGGCAATGGACAATAGATTCGGAAGGGCTAAATCCACGCCATCTAGTTTGGATTGGTGGTTTAGCCCAGTCATACTCGTTCATACATCCCAACTGGTGCAGAAGTTTGGCCATCCACATGCCGTAGTTGCCATCATTTGTAGCAAATGGACCAAGTTCCCATCGGGGACACAGACCGCGGCTTGCTTGGGGTCAACACCCTGAACACAAAACAATACATCCCCTTTACCTAGGTCCCCCACAAGCCCTTTTACCATGCTCCAAACATATCCAAACATGGGATCACCACAAGGGTAGAATCGTGCCAGTCCTGAAAGAAAACAGAAGGAAGCCCAAATAATGGGAATGCGGGGAAATACTCCGAGTGAATGTCCGGCACCATAACTAGGTCCTCCAGTACAAAGGCTAGAATTTGGGTGCCCTTTTCCTGTGGTCTATTTTAGTAGGGGAATCTTTGTTCGGATTGTTGATGCTAACTATCCCCTCAAGAGTTTGGGACCGGTTGATCTCATCAAGAAACAAACAGCACTTTGAAAGGGACTTGAAAAGGAGGGAGTATTCTTGAATAGTTGGGTTACAACCCCCAGTTTGAAAAACCTCAACAGTTTTTTTTGTTTTTCTCAACTGGTTGAATATTGCCAGCGCTCCCCAAAAACACGCACACACACACACATCGCAAGGGTTCCCATTGAAGGAACCATGGTGAACCAGCGTTTGGATCGTTCACCGCGATTCGACGTTGTTTGGCTCGATCGTGATCATTTGGGCATCTTGGGGTTGGCACGATGTTCTACGTGTTGATTTCCCATTCTGCCCGCCCATCGTTATCTGAACAGAAGGATCCCTTGCTGGAGGTGGAGCTGAAGTACTGAAGCAATCACCATTTTCGCAGTTTCTAGCCATGGTCGTTTACATGTTGAGAGTTTAGAGTTTGAATTATGACGCGTAGCCCTTGCTCCAAGTTCGACTTTTACTGCACCAAGGAACCACACAGATATCCGAGTGGAAATCGCAAGTCCAGAACGTGAACCCCTTGGGTGCCACATTCTTCTTTCCAATTCCCAGAGCTTCATCATATCATTTGCTATGTTAAGATGTTGTTTTATAAAAATGAAAGATTCCTAAGATAAAAGCAAAATGATAATAAAGAAAAGAAAAGCAAACAATAAAATAAAACAATGCAAAGGAGATTATGAAAAGGATAAAGACTCCCAATTTCTGAGATTAAACAGTTGATGATGGCATATTTCTCTCTTTCCATCTCTTTTCCTTTATTGCAATTCTCTTTTTATTTCTTTCACATTCTATTTTCTGAGATTTTAATTATTTCTTGTTAATATTGCCATCTTATAAATCCCGGAAGTTGCTACCAATGAAGATTCCTCGCTGTCAAGTCTCTTCATCAGGATCTAGAGGGTAATGGTGATGGGTTTTCATGTTGGGATTTCTTCCTCATCATCAATCTCTCTGAGTCACCAATTGGATGGATTCTTCTTGGACAGATGAGGACGAAGGAATCTGAGGAGTGAGAAAGAAGAAATCCCATTATCCATCCATTCAACCGAAATCGTCGAAACCCTTGTCTACCTTATTGCTGGTCTTCCCCAAAAAGGGTTCCCTTTTTTGTCCAGGGTCACCGAACAACTGAGTGAGTCTGTCTTTTTTGAGGGTACCCCTGTTTGGTTGGTGTTAAAAGCAAACCCAAAGGAAAGATGTTTGGTTGGTGGCCCAGCCTAAAAGAAGACAGCACCCCTCCTTGCCACCCCCTCCCGGACTCCCCCCCCGGCACAGGGCCAAGCCGAACCAAACAAAACGGAGCCGAGAGCTCGCAGGACCATCCACGAGATCGAGCAGCGGCGGGAGCTCGCGGACGTGGCCAAGAGCGCCGTGCGGGAGGCGAAGTCTACAAGTTGACCAGTGAAGCTTCGGCTCTAAGATGGGAACGATCTATGAATCATGGGGGTTACGAAACCGGGGTCAACGTGAAATAACTAGAAGGGGTACCTCAAGCTTTTTCCCGAAAGCATGGCGAAGGGTTCTTCCGCTGGGTTCACTTGAGTTGTTCTCATGAGAGTCATTACAAGGTGTCATTGCAAGGAATCATCATCATGAAAGTCATTGCAAGGAGTCATTGCAAGGAGTCATTGCAAGGAGTCATTGCAAGGAGTCATTGCAAGGAGTCATTGCAAGGAGTCATTGCAAGGAGTCATTGCAAGGAGTCATTGCAAGGAGTCATTGCAAGGAGTCATTGCAAGGAGTCATTGCAAGGAGTCATTGCAAGGAGTCATTGCAAGGAGTCATTGCAAGGAGTCATTGCAAGGAGTCATTGCAAGGAGTCATTGCAAGGAGTCATGCAAGGAGTCAGGATTGCAACTTGCACTTGACTCCTTGCACTTGCAACTTGCACTTGACTCCTTGCACTTGCACTTGACTCCATGCACTTGCAACTTGCACTTGACTCCATGCACTTGCTCCTTGCACTTGGCTCCTTGCACTTGCAACTTGCACTTAACTCCGTGCACTTGCGACTTGCACTTGACTTGCACTTCTTGCATGCACTTGGCTGCCTTGCAACTTGAATGGCTCTCAATGACTCCTTGCAATGACTCCTTGCAATGACTCCTTGCAATGACTCCTTGCCATGACTCCTTGCAATGACTCCTTGCAATGACTCCTTGCAATGACTCCTTGCAATGACTCCTTGAAACAAGCAAGGAGTCAAGTGCAAGTTGCAAGTGCAAGGAGTCAAGTGCAATTGACTTGCGAGGAGTTAAAATCTCTTCTTAGGGCGGCGGGGTAGTGCCGACGACACTACACGAAAATCGACCCTCTGCGGGGATCGGCGTGGTCGAGGTGCAAAAACCCATGGTTTTTTGCGATTTCTAAAGTTCCCGCGCGACCCTCTGCGGGGATCGGCGTGGTCGAGGTGCAAAAACTCGAGGTTTTTTGCGATTTCCGGTGCCCGCGCAACCCTCTGCGGGGATCGGCGTGGCCGAGGTGCAAAAACTCGAGGTTTTTGCGATTTCTACGGTGCTCGCGCAACCCTCTGCGGGGATCGGCGTGGCCGAGGTGCAAAAACTCGAGGTTTTTGCGATTTCTACGGTGCTCGCGCAACCCTCTGCGGGAATCGGCGTGGTCGAGGTGCAAAAACTCGAGGTTTTTGCGACTTTTGTTGTTCGAACTGGTCCTCAGGAGTTGTCTCGTGGTTCGCGCGCCTGCTCCCGGAACCGGCGGGTCGCGGGTTCGATTCCTCCCTGGTCCGCGGGCGGGCGTCGCAAGATGCAACTTGCATTTTAAAGCAACTTGCGCAGAGCAACTTGCGCAGAGCAAGTTGCACAGAGCAACTTGCGCAGACCAACTTGCACCGACCAGTTTGCGCAGAGCGCCTTGCCTAGAGCAACTTGCGCAGAGCAACTTACGCAGAGCAACTTGCACAGAGCAACTTGCACAGAGCAGCTTGCACAGAGCAACTTGCAGGGAGCGCAATTTGCACAGAGCAACTTGCAGGGAGCCACTTGCAGGGACCAACTTGCCGGAGCAACTTGCGCGGAGCAACTTGCGCAGAGCAACTTGCACAGTGCAACTTGCGTAGAGCAACTTGCGCAGACCAACTTGCACCGACCAGTTTGCGCAGAGCACCTTGCCTGGTGCTGTCTCGCGCTTGCTTCACGAATGCTTCGTGTAGGGAAAAAGAACGCATCCTGCAGCGTTGGGCCGACCTCGCTTGCGATGTTCTGCTTTCGGGCCAACCGTGGTCTAGTTTTTGTTGGGTATTGCGGGATACCCAAGTTTTCAGGGTTCGAAATCCATCTTTTCAACAGGGGCGAAGCGTATGTACCCCACAAAAACGGGCGGGCTGGCCCATTTTAGAACCTATTTTAGTGGTTGGATTGGGGTGTTCACTGGGGGCTAACCGATTTGGATTTTGACACATGGCCTTTTCGGCGCCAAAAGACGCCGCTCAAAGAGGTGCTGGACGGGTCAGCTGAGCAGCACGCGGGGTTCCACGAGCGAGCCCGGCAGCTGGTAGACAGCTTTGTCCACAGGAGAAGGGCTCAAAGATTTCCATTTAGCTGGGCTTAGCGTTTGGAGTTGATCGAGTGGTTTAGAAATGAATTGGGATGGTTCCAACTCCGCTTAAAAATTGGAAAGCAGCCCAGAGTCATGGGGCAATATCGTATCTTAAAGGGCATACTACAAGGACCTGAATAATTCAGTTTGGGGTTGTGGGTGCCCCGTATTCACAGGATACTACAGTGTAATTATTCAACCCCGCAGATTACTGGTTGGCTTCCAAAAGCTAGCATGATTTTTGACCGTCAGGTTGACTGTAGATCTTTCATATTGAAGCCACACCTGTTTGGGGCGGATTCTATCAGTTTCCCTGTGAGATTGTCACACCAAATGCGACTGGGAGGTGACACCATGCCCGACCAGGGCTGTTTCCTGCGGGGTTCTACACCAATTTTGAAAACTCAGACGGTGGTTCCTATGTTTCAACCAGCAACTTTGATTCATCGCAACCCCTTCGAGAACAACTTGCTCCTCCCCTCTCCCCCTTGTGAGATGTTCGGCCAAGTTTGTAAGGAAGTGTTGGGATTCAACGTCCACTTGTTTATAAGTTATGACCCAGGTTGCCACAACAGCTTAGTGCGAACACCCTATCCTTTAGGGAACTTTCAGGTAGGCAAACATATGAGCCAAGGAAAGAATCGCAATCCACAACCAGGCAACTGGTGGTGCAAGTGAGTTCCTTCCGATTTACAACACCACTTGAAATGATTCCCTACCTACTGAACCAGGTTTTAGAAACCCGGCAACCCATGGAAGCCAAGGGAAACTACCCGAGAACAAAAGCAAAAGTGATCCAACGAGGCATTTCAACTGAACCGCAGCCACGCTCGATTTTTCCATTTTTTTCTCGATCTGTTGCAGCAATTTGTTGAGCACCTTTGAAGGAAAGCACTCCTTTTGGAAAGGAAAGCTACCAGGAAAGGGCCCATTGGACTCCAGCCAAATGGGGATGACCATCAAAATAGAGCTTGTTTAGCAATCAAGAAAAGCTCTTTCGGTATGAAGCAAAAACCGTTTTAGCAATCAAACATAAAAGCTTTCGCAATGGGAAGGATCCACTCCTCCCCCACGCGCTTCGACTTGGAGACCACGGACTTGGAGCTGAGTCGGGCCCTGGCGTACCTGAGGCGCGGGGGGTGTTATGCCTCAGTTGTTCAGTGGCCCCCCTTTTTCCGGTTTTTTTGGTGGCTGCCCCACTTCCCAAACAAGGGTTCCCTTTTTTTGTCCAGGGTCACTGAACAACTGAGATGCTGCTTGCTTGCTACCGAATGCCCGAGCCCCGGGGATTTGGAATGAGAAGCGGTTTTGGGGATGCCCGAAAGTGGGACGTCAGGTGAGCCACAATCAAAACCGATTCGGGTACATTAAGGTTGGTAAGGGACAATCACCATAAATAGCTGCGGATATCCGCCTTCTTAATTCCTTACATGGTTCTGGGTGGACCATTTTAGTACCGGGTTTTGATTGTGACTCAGGTAGGGATCGTTGAACAAAAACTGGCATCCCTCATCATGGTTGTTGTTGGTAAGCATTTTATAGTTTGGTTTATTGTGGTTTGGTGGGAGATCCCCACGTAACTGCTAAAACTTGAGTTTTTGCTCCCCTTCCAATGTCAACCAAGTCAGAATGGCAACCTGGAAACAAAGACTAGATCCTGCGGTTTGCCCTAGCTCGGCAAAAAACAGAGAGCCACGGATTATATTTAACCAGAGTTTTTTTAGAAGACCTTTGGAATCGAAAGACGGAAACCACCAGTTGGTTGGGTGGGAATGACCCCGTTCCCGGAATCGCAGAACCACCCCGAAGACTGTTGCGGCAATTTCAACTATTTTCTTCCGGGTAGTTTGAGGGTTCGAGGCTAATCCCTTGGAAGAAAAGAGAGCGGGTACTCCCTTGGAGCAACAAAGAGGGCAATTTTGTCTTTTTGTTGGGGATGGTTTGAGGGACCCCTTTTTAGGGCAACGCTTGTCCGCCCGAAACGGCGGGCCTTCCGTCGCTCAGGGATGAGTTCGTGAACCGCCTCGAGGACCTCTTCCAGCAGAAGGCATCCTCCCCCCGCGCCGTGGATGGAGGGGCTAGCCTGTAAGCTTCCATTTGGTGAAATGAATATTGTTTTTTTCCTGTTGGTTTTAAAGGGAATCGATTTCACTACTGGAATCATTTTCTCATTTGTTTCAGGGGACTCAAGCAAATGGAGGTAAGGTGAATATGGGTGGGTCGTTTTGTGGACGGTAATTACCCTAGGTCCCCCAGCTAGGTGCCCTTTCTCACCCCTTTTTGGGGGAGGGTTCCCCTACGAAAATAAACCAACGAAAAAAAAGAAGGGGGTGCCCTTATTCTAACCTCTCAAATCTGGAGGACCCAGCACCCCATGACTTATGATTCTTATGATTTGAAAGGGAAACCAGACGGAAAACAACTATTCGGGGGGGGGCCCTTAAAGAAGACACACCCAGATCCAACACCCCCGGGCTCCTTGCCCGGTCCCGAAGTCCCGTGAAAAAGACGCGAAATCTGGGCGGGGGATGGAAGGGAAAGTAGCGCCAGCAATGGGCCTTTCCATTTGAAACATGTTGCTTTTTCAACAAAATAGAGAAATGGAAGCCACCATTATAATCATTTACAAGTTGCAATGTTCAGGTGTATAGTGCATCCGGATCCCTGTTTTGCACACAGGGCAATTGCCACCAAGGCTTGCTGAACTAATGGGTTACAGTTGCCTCACGGCATGCGAGGCTTATTGCAGCTGTGAGCTGGTCTGGTTGAGCCCTGGTGATTGCTTCCCGTATTCAAGCCTGAAACGGTGATCAATTACCCCTTACAAGCCCTTCCCCTGACCGATCAAGCCTCCCTTCCCCTGACCGTAAACAAGAGGAGCACTCCAATTGGAGTGCTTGCTCTTTAAAACAGAAGTTGAAAAGACTACCAGTGGTTCACGTGCCCCCAATGGTTGCTTACAGGCTAAAAGGAGCTGAGGAAAAGGCTGTTGTCTAAGCGTGGCAGTACATAGCCCCGCCCCTTGCCAACCCGCCCTGTGCATGTTCACATGTTGGGCCGGGCTTGTCTCATAGAAGAATCGCTCTGACCCCAAATGGGGGTGCTTTGCCCAAGCGCTCGAACGAGGTATGTACGAATACCCGTAGGCTTTGGCGCCAGCGGTTGACCCCTTTTCTCAGCCTGGGAGGTGGTTCCTCTAAACGTGCAAAATCCCAAGCGCTCGGACTGGCTTCAAACATGGGACTGTACTCAAGTTGTTTGCAGAGCAGTTGGCAGTTTGAGGGCCCAATGTTCTCACAATGAGGGCCTCACTAGTTGAATCAAAGAGAGTTGTTTCTGATACATCTAAGATCCAATAAATTTCCCTGGCAGTCTCTCCTTGCTTATTCGCTTTGGGTAGCACGCCTATCCCCCGCCCAGCTCTATTTTGTGTAGTGAAGTTTCCCATGGCAGGCGTAGTCCTTATCCATTCCATCTTGCATAGCCGGCCCCGTGAAAGCTACCTTTCAGGCACTCGGGCTTGAACCAGAATTGTTTCACTCAAGATCCTCTTCATTTCCCTTTAAACACCAGGATCCCACCGCTTCAGAAGATGTTGCAACGCCTTTGGCTTAGTGACCCTTGCGGTTGCTTGTTTTCGTTTTCTTCTTTATTTCTCTATAGTAAGAAAAACATCATATTCATTTGGGTATGGGTCAAAATTAACCCAGCGACCGCAGACTTTAGGTCCGTGTTTCCATTTACCAGGGCAACCCATTTTGGGGTTACCCTAGTTTTGACCCACGGCCATTTCCTAAAAAGCAGGTTCACCTTTTGAAAGGGGGGGCTATATCCCCGTCACTTCGCCCTGAAGCCTTTGGAGTTGCCCACTGCTGCCGAGCTGCCGAGGCTTCAGCACCACCGCCAAGGAGCAGGCAAAGCAGCAGATCCGGACGCCCATTGAGTGGGCCTTCGAGAACCACCTGTACACCTGGACCCTCGAACCGAGGAACTCGCAAAATTCGGTTTTAAGGCTCACTTTCTATAGCTTCCGGTTCGGACTTTCAGATTTTTTGACGTTGGAGCCCCAGCTAGGCGCCCTTCTCTCCCATTTCTTTTTTGGTTGGGAGGGTTCTACTAAAATAGACTACAGAAAAAAAGGGTACCTTAGCAAAACCTCTTTGCGACCGAAATCAGGGTTCTGGGATCACTCGGGGTTTTTCCCACGTCTGTGATACGAGGAAATCTCTGTGTTCAACTGGGGTGTGTGTCTTTGGCAAGTGATACTTTTGGGAATCTCCCCTGTTGACTGGGGGTGTGTCTTTGGGAAGCCCATTCTCTCTGCTGACACACTCGCATCGACCAAAACACCTCAATGAGCAAGGGTCCCTGTGCTTGCTGAGGAAGAAGCAAAAGCCCATTTCAACTTGCGCTGCCTTTCTTCATGCTTCGTTTATCCCTTGCCGCGAGTTCTCTTCTTTGGGATATGTGATACATTCCTCTCGACAATCCTGTGGTGTCCCTGAATCGGCACCTGGAAGCAGAACCAAAGGTTCCAGCCAGCACCCGGGTCCCAACTGTGCCCCATGTCCAAAGTCCCAAGTACGAACGAAAGAAGCAGTGCTAGGGATTCTGGTGCTGGAGGTCAACTTAGGAACTTGCGTTTTCTTTGGTCCAACCGATCCACCTGTTCCAACTGATGTCAAACTGCTTGCCCCTCCAAATCTCCGGTATCTCTTTTCGGGTATATTGTCGCAAGCAAGGTTTCCCGAGGCAAATTTATCTTTCTTTGGTCAGGGGCTGACATCATTACCCCACAAGAAGTGGGTATTGAGAGCTCTTGGGCCCTCATATGGGCGTGGGTAAAAAAAAGGTTCCCAAAATGGAACCCTGGCAAATGGAAACATGGACTAAAACCAGCGGTCCGATTCCTGGTGATTGAATTTTGACCCATACCCATATCGCTCCAAACATGAATGAATTCATTTGGTTTATCAGGGCTGCTTAAAAGATACATGTTGCCCATTTGAAACATGGCTTTGTCCACCAACATAGAGGGGAAATCACAATTTACAAGGCAATGTTCAGGTCTATAATGTAAGGATCCCTGTTTATTCATGTTGTCAAGGGTAATACGAATACGAGAGCTCGTAAACTATATCCCTCAGTCGCCCTCTCGACGCGTTTTCCAGTTCCGAGGAAGCTGCATTTGAAGAAAGCCTCGGACGAGCGAGCCATGCAGCTGGGACATGTGAAGTGAAGGGAACGGTTTGAACCAGCGGGCTGCCCTGTTTTTTTTCTTGCTTTTTTTCTTGTTTTTGTATCCTTTTCCGTTTTTCTTTTTTTCTTTTTTAGGGAAGCACCGAGAAACACTAATAATAAGAAGAAGTCAGCCCCGTTCAAAAACTCCCATCCTAGGAGCTACCTTTCTTCTTCTTTTTCTTCTCGGGAAACACCGAGAATTACTCCAAGAAGTCAGCATCGTTCAAAAAGCCCAGCCTAGGAGTTGGAGGTACCTCTTTTGTGTCTGAAGCCAGATCTCCAGTCAGGTTTTCCCTGTGGTGGTTCTTGTGGTTGCGATCCTCGCTCCGATCGGGATTCGGACCCCCCGAAATGGATTTCGGCCGGTCTTTTCTGGTTGGTTTTTCATTGAAAGCCGCAGAAAAAGTGGGGTTACCCTCCAAAGAAGGACAGCCCCACATATATATATATATATATCTTTATATTTATTGCTTTATTGGTTTATTTCCATGGATTCGATGGAGATAGGAACCCGCAGAAGCTGGAAAGGGCCCCCTGGACCTTGATGGGGCCAACGAGCTGTGAAACTCCTTGTGACTGGCGTCAAAGCTGGAGCCGATCCAGAGAATCCCTCTAGAGAAAACGGCACCAACCAAGAAACAAAAACCACCCTGATATTACACGACCTCTGCTCCCTTTAAATGAAGGGGGGGAAAGGAACCCCCCCCCACCAAACAACAAAAAGCACAAAAACAAATTTCCCCCCCCCAGCCCCACAGCCGCCCCCCCCCCCCCCAAAGAAACGACCCTCCCCCCCCCCCACAGCCCCCACAGCCCCCCCCCCCAAACCCCACAAGCCTCGAGTGGACCATATTTTCAGGCACGAGCTGTGGATCCACTTCACCGGAGTGCTGAACCGCCACCTGGAGACCTCCGGGCACCGCTCCTGCCTCTCGGAGGCCGAGAGCCGGCAGCTCTTCGACGCCGAGTGGCAGATGTACGAGGCGCGCGCGAAGGTTCTGGCTGGGGCTGCGGGCGGGCGGGGCGGGGCTGGTGCGCGGTTGGGGGCGCAGCTGGGGGCTGGTGGGGGCTTTGTTGGAGGGGAGGAAGGAGCAATACAAATTCCCCCCCACGTTTTTTGGGTATTCAACGGGTCACCCAAAGTATTTGGCCCCTTTTGGGATAATGTTTTTGGTTTTTGAAATCCGAAAAGGGGACACCGATTTGGTCGAGTTCCACATTTGAGGTTAAACACGTTTCACCATCAGCTCCAGTTTGGCCCCTTTTTTGGATTGTTTGCTTTGGGAATCCGAAAAGGACACCGAATGGGACGAGTTCCAAATTTGAGGTTTGACTCGTCGCTTTCCCGCTGAGGCATCCTTCCTGGACCGACTGCAGAGCCTCACCAAGGACTGGCAGACCCTGGCGCACGAGGCGCTTGCAACGGCCGATTTGAAGCACCCCGGGGCCGAGTTAAACCCGGCGGGTCATTCCCAAAAGGAGAACCCCTAGGTTTACGACGTTTCGGGCAGAATCTAAAAGTGGAGCCCTGTCACCTTGAAGTACTCCCAGAGCCCCGGATGTGCCAAAAGATGCAGTTGATGCTGACGAATCCGTCTTTCTAGAAAATATCCAGAACCTCGAAAAATCGGCCAGTTTCTGAAAGAACGAGTCACCTGATCGTTTTTCAGGCGCTTCAACAGACCTAGAGTTGAATGCCTGCTGCCCCTTGTTTGAACCTGTTGAAGAAAAGCGTCAACTGAAGCCCCTCCCCGAAAAATGGATCCCTGGAAAGAATGGACATGCAAGGTATCCATCGACCTTTTAGGTGACATTCAAGTCTCGTGCTTTTGAAGTTTGAATTTGGAACCCTGGTATGGGACACCTCTACCCGCCTTCTGCAGGTACATCTGTGGGTCAAAACTATGGTAACCCCAAAATGGGTTGCCCTGGTAAATGGAAACAAGCACCACCTGAAATCCACATCCTGGTTTAATTTTGACCCAAACCCATATGTTGACCCCTCGTTTTTGAGCCCATAGTTGCGGAACGTCATTGTAGCACCAGAGTGGTGGATTCCCATGACTGCTTCATGTAAGGGCAAACTTCCAGAAACTGGCCGTTTTCCCTGGGTTTCTGGAGGTTGTCAAAAAAGAAAAGGCCTGTGCTTGCCTCATTTGGTTTGAAGTTTGGAATTGAAATTTCTGGTTCTTGTGAGCACATGGGAAACCTCCAGAAACTGGCCGTTTTCTCTGCATTTCTGGAGGTTTTCTAGAAAGAATGGACCTGGGATGGCCTGACCATCCCCAGGTGACTGGACCTGGGATGGTAGCCCTGGCCCATCCCCAGGTGACGCTGCTCTTCAACCACGCGGTGGGGAAGTTGCAGCACGAGACCGGGGCTCTGGCGCTGCTGAAGGAGGCGGGGCCCCAGGCTTTGACCCGCGAGGCGGACACGGCGCGGCACCTGGGGAAGCAGACCAACGAAGAGTGGGAGGAGCCGAGAAAAAAAAAAAAAAGAAAAAAAAGAGACAAGGGGGGGGGGGGGGGGGGAGGGGAGGGAGGGGGAACCTGTTAATGAAAACCCCACCCCGGTATCAATAGGTTTTTTTAGGGTTGGGTAGTCAGACCACTTTTGGAGGGGAACACCCCCCTGGTCAACTGGGGTTGAGGTCGATACTAGACTTTTTGGGGAAGACACTTTTTGTGGTACAAGTTGAAACTTTTGTTGGCCAGTGAACTCAGGAAGTGAGGTGGCTGTGGGTCAAACTTAAACCACCAGAAAACCGCAAGTGTTTGTCCTTGATTCCATTTGCCACGGTTTCATGTTGGGGTTACACGATTTTTGACCCACTGCCAGGTAAGTACCCTTTGCTCACTTCCTGAGTTGTTGGACTTTGTATACTTGTATGGGTTTAGACAATTTTGGTGGCAAGCTAGCGGAGTGGGAGAAGGAGGGGGGGGGGGTATTTTTCGGCAGGGTTGCAAGTTCGGTCTAAAAAAACAAGTTTTAAAGAGAAAAGGGAACTCTAGTGGTTTAAGCATGCTCAAGCAAGCGGTCCAGAATTGTCCAGGGGTCACTGGGATCGTGGTTGAAATAGTTCTGCATAAGGTTCTCCAGTTGTGTACCAGAGTCCAAAAAGCGTGGGACCAGATTTGCCTTTGAGACCATCCGCCACCCCCCGAGAGCTAAGTATATAATCCCAATACATGTTCCTGCTTTGAAAACACCTGGGAAAGGTGAGATCGACGTTTTGGATCGCAAAAGGGCGGCCTAGACCGATTCCGTGTTGGGGGGACAATACAGGGACACTGCGTGCAGAAGCACTCCCAACAGAATGCCCGACCCCACAGATCAGAACTATTTGAAAGCGACGAAGAAGAGGTGTTTTTCCCGAAAGCATCGCGAAGGGTTCTTCCGTGCGGAGGCCTTGAGAGCCAAGTTACATAGAGCCAAGTTACATAGAGCCAAGTTACATAGAGCCAAGTTACATAGAGCCAAGTTACATAGAGCCAAGTTACATAGAGCCAAGTTACATAGAGCCAAGTTACATAGAGCCAAGTTACATAGAGCCAAGTTACATAGAGCCAAGTTACATAGAGCCAAGGTTAGGTAGAGCTTAGAGCTTCGGCGTTAGCAGCTATGTAAGTTAGTTTAGGTTTCTAAGGCGCCGGGGCGGGAGTTTGATCGTCGCTCGGGATTGCGACCCTCTGCGGAGATTCGCGTGGTCGAGGTTCAAAAACTGAGGACTTTTTAAGATTTTTAGCATGCGCGCGCGACCCTCTGCGGAGATTCGCGTGGTCGAGGTTCAAAACCTGAGGATTTTTTAAGATTTCTGCTGGCCGCGCGCGACCCTCTGCGGAGATTCGCGTGGTCGAGGTTCAAAAACTGAGGACTTTTTACGGCTTCTGCTGGCCGCGCGCGACCCTCTGCGGAGATTCGCGTGGTCGAGGTTCAAAAACTGAGGACTTTTTACGATTTCTGCGGTGCGCGCGCGACCCTCTGCGGAGATCGTGCGCGTCGAAGCGCTCTCGCTGTGGCGCCGTGCGAATTTGTCTTAGTCTCGGCGAACCTTCTGCGGAGATTGTGCGTGTCGAAGCGCTCTCGCTGTGGCGCCGTGCAATATTCTTGCTCGCGAAACGGCCTTTGGAAGTTGTCTCGTGGTTTGCGCGCCTGCTTTCGCAATCCCGCGGTCGCGGGTTCGATTCCCGGAAAGCTCCGGCTTGAAAGTCGCAGCTAAGTACAAACGTAGTACGCGGAGCGTGCTCCTGCAGCTCCGGCTGGAAAATCGTAACTTTTAAGTACAAACGTAGTGTGCGGAGCGTGCTCCCGCAGCTCAGGCTGGAAAATCGCAACTTTTAAGTGCAAACGTAGTACGCGGAGCACACCCCCGCAGCTCCGGCTTGAAAATCGTAACTTTTAAGTACAAACGTAGTACGCGGAGCGTGCTCCTGCAGCTCCGGGTGGAAAATCGCAATTTTTAAGTACAGACGTAGTATGCGGAGCGTGCTCCCGCAGCTCAGGCTGGAAAATCGCAACTTTTAAGTACAAACGTAGTACGCGGAGCGTGCTCCTGCAGCTCCGGCTGGAGAATCGCAACTTTTAAGTACAAACGTAGTACGCGGAGCGCACCCCCGCAGCTCCAGCAGCACTTGCGCAGAGCAACTTGCGCAGAGTCACTTGCGCAGAGCAACTTGCGCAGAGCAACTTGCACAGAGCAATTGCACAAAGCACTTGCGCAGAGCAACTTGCACAGACCAACTTGCACAGAGCACATGCGCAAAGCGCTTGCACGGAGCAACTGGCGCAGAGCCCTTGCGCAGAGCAACTTGCTCAGAGCACTTGCGCAGAGCAACTTGCACAGAGCAGGCGCAGAGCAACTTGCACAGACCAACTAGCGCAGAGCACATGCGCAAAGCGCTTGCGCGGAGCAACTGGCGCAGAGCACTTGCGCAGAGCAACTTGCTCAGAGCACTTGCGCAGAGCAACTTGCACAGAGCACTTGCGCGCAGCAGCTTGCAGAGAGCAACTTGCGCGCAGCAGCCTGGAACAATGCAGCTTGCGCAGACCACTTTCGTGAGAAATCGCGCGGCGCAGTTCGAGAGGAAAGTAGGATGATGAGATGGAGCTCTCATGTGACCATACACACTGAGCATCGCCGCGCGCAGACACGCTCGCCGCAGCGATGTAAAAAGGTGTCTCCGCAGCTGGATGAGCACCTCTAAAATGCTTTCGGGCCAATCGTCCTCTTGTGTTTCTCTTGAGTTGGTAGATGCCCCTTTCTCATTTTGTTTCTCTTGGGGTTTCCCAAGGCAAAGCGAACATCGTCCGTGTTCTTTTGGGGCAAGCCCGAGGAGAACTATTTCCACATCGGCTGGTGGGGCGCAATGAAGATGCACGGCCTGGCGCTGCTTCACACCGCCGGGGGCACGTTGGATCCCAACTTCGGCACAGGCCTGCGGAACAACGTCATCCCCCGCGCCTCAGACTGGAAGCTCCCGAAAAAAGCCGAGTGCTGAGTCTCATGCGGGTACGGCTCGAACTTCTTAAGAGCCGGGGGTTAATTCCGCGGGGTTTTTGGTCTTTGGTTTCCATTTACCAGTTTGGTGCCAGTTTGGCAATTATCACTTTGTTTTTGAGCCGTGTGGTTCGTTTGGACGGCGTACCCTGATTTGGGGACCACGCAAGATCTCACTTGGTTCCCAGCATTTATTGGCCGTCCGGTTCCTTAGGTTTTTGCAGCTTCTTGGTTGGCTGGAGGGGGATGTCCATTTTGCCGTTAAAAGCAAAGCTTTCAGCAGGATCTGAGGATAGCCCAGTAGCAGGGGGCTTTTGAGTGGCTGGGTTTTCTTTCTCGAGGCACCCAGAAGCCCCACACCCTGTCCTGACAGACAAGCGGCTGCGGGTTGTTTTCAGGGATGAGCAAATTATGAGACGATGGCCGTTTTTCCCCATGCAAACCAGCAAATGATCAGAGTTGCGGTTTCCAAGCACCAGCCGCGTATTTATACTATTGTGAATTGCACCCTCCCACCAAACATGGAAGCGCGCAACCATTGGTGGAACTGGAGAACAGTTTAAAACAGGTATACCCCTCAAACCGGCACGATGTCCTTTTGGGCTTCCCTAAGCCAAGAGTAAGACCCCATTTTGCCCGAATAAGACCGCACTTTTTTCGGGTGGAGACTCCAGGCATTTCAAGGGCTGTCATTTGAAACCGCCACTTAAAAAAATCCCTCAAAACAGGTATACCCCTCCAAATCGACACGTTCCATTTTGGCTTCCCTACGCTTCCATTTGGTTAAGAATATGTTTACTTTCCCTGGTTGGTTTTCAAGGGAATCTATCACTGGATTTGTTTTCTCATTTCTTGGAGGACGAAAACGCAAATGGAGGTACAGCCAACAGCCCACAGCCCATTTTTTTTGGGAAACATTCACAGCAATTCCACAGACCACAGGTTTCTTGGTCAGTCCCAAGCCCTGAAGCCGCGTTTCTTTCCCCACGCGTCGCGCCGTTTCGCCGTTTCGCCGTCCTTTTCCGCTCGCGAAGGCATGCGCCAGGCGGTTCAGACGGGGCTCCAGCAGCTGCGCTCGGAGGTCCACGCGCGGCAGGTGCTGGACGAAGCCACGGCCGGGGAGGGCCTGCGCCACGTGGCCAACGTCATTCTGCACGACCTGGACCGTGGCGTGGGTGGACGTGGGGTGGGGTGGTTGGGTTGGGGTGGGGTGGGGGTGGGTTGGGTTGGGTGGGATTGAGTGGGTGGGGTGGGGTTGGGTTGGGTTGGGGTGGGTGGGCGGGTAGGTGGGTTTGTTGGTTGGATGGGCTAGTTGGGCTGGTTAGGTTGCTTGGGTTGGTTTGGTTGGTGGGTTGTTGGTAAATATCCACAAGGTGTTTGCCGCCAAGAAGTGTAGTAAACAGCCATGCGCTAGTTTGGGTTTCCCAAACAAGGACCAGGGGTCGGTTGCAAACAAGAAGAGTTGTAGCCAACGTATCAACTGGTTGTAAACAGATCATGCCTTCTTTTGGGTTGGGTGGATTGCAGGACCTGGACCGCCCGAGTTCAAATCGGCGGAAAGCCGCGGCAACCACCCAGAGAAACGGCCCACCTTTGGACAATTCCGATTTTTTTAGGAGTACACTCACCGCCTTTGGTCGGTTGACATTGCTTGAAATGGTGACCTGCACCTTTTAAATCTGGGCGTGACCGCGGTAGCTCTTGCTTGGTTGTTTTGCAGGGAAACCAAGTGGAAACCCATCCAATCTGGTGCTCGCTCATTTGGAGGCCGAAAGCTTTTGAGCATGTGGACTTTTGAGATAGCGCTTAAATCAAACTTATCCTTATAAATTTCCTTGTCAGCAAGTTTACACACGATAGCCACCAAGTTGGGTTAAGGCTTTGGGTTCCCTCCAAAACGATGTTTTATTTCAGGGTAGACTAAGTATGAAATAGAGCGTAGTGGTGCCCCAAGGATTGCGTATTAGATGATAAACGTTGCCAGTCGAACATCGCAGTTTATCATGGATGTTCCATGACCTTATGGTAGAACAATTAATCTATTTGGTGAAGAATATGTTTATTTTCCCAGGTTGGTTTTAAAGAACATCTATCACCGTATACGTACCGGAAAGACATGCTTGACTTTTCCCAGGGGACGGAAAGTCAAATGGAGGTAAGCAACTAAAGTTACAATGGCCAGTAAAGAAGAGAAACACACCTTGAACTAAAACTATCCGCCAGCAACCTATATTGACTCTGACATACAAATAGGTCGATCATGGCAACAAAACGCGAATCAACAAGATAAGCAATCCCTCCCATTGACATATTCATGGTTGTTGTTGGGACACATTTTGCATTTTTGCTTATTGTAGTTTAGTGGGAAATCCCCACTTAACTGCCAAAACTTGTTTTTTGCTCCCCTTCCAACGTCAACCAAGTATTGATCGAGGTGGATCATCGTATCAGCTCATTTCCCCAGGAGACGCGGCTCTTAGCTGACTGCCCAGTGACGTTGAAGCGGCCCCAGATCTTGCACGCCCTGCACCTCGCGCTGCGTGCCGCCTGCGTGGAAGCACTGGAGGACGTGGAGACGGACAAGCAAAAGAAGGCCAGCAGAATTTGTTACCCCAAAATGCCCTTGACCTCTATAGTGACTACTTTAAAGGGAACCCCTGCGAAAAGGGGGGAAGAAAACGGACAAAAGGGTGCCACTAGAACTCTAGTGGTGCCCTTTTTTCCTTTTATGGGAGGGTGTCCCTTTCAAGGTCTTAGGGGGAAACCGAGGGGCAACATTTAACATTTGGAGGCCCTGGAAACTGCAAGGCGAAGCTGGACTCAGCGGCGCCAGCAAAGAAGTGTCAACTTTTGAGGTTAGTTTGGATAGAAGTAGATGGGTTCCACTGGTTTAGATGGGTTCATTCCATTCACCAGGGCCTATTTTTTCCAGAAGGTCACATATGACCATACTCTGCAGTTCTTCCATTTGGTTAAGAATATGTTTGTATTTTCCCCTATTGGTTTTATAAAGAAACTGTCACTACTGGACATATTTTTTCCAGGGGGCTTAAGCAAATGGAAGAGTTAGATGCACCTGCAAAAGAAAACACGTCGAGACGAAATCAGTAGCTAGGCATTGACCGAATCGACGGTCAGATTCGAAGGAAGAAACCGAACCGAAAACAATTCCGCAAGGTTTGGTTTCTGGAAACCCCACCGAATCGAACCGTGGCCACCCTGACTGGGCGATCCGCCTAGGAAGGTACTCTTGTATCAGAGCCCCTTCTTTAATCAACCAACCTGGCTTAAGGGGGTTCAAAGCTTCTCTCATGGCACACCCCCCGATCAACATTATTTCAGTGGTTTGCTAAGGTTACCCACTCAAAGGAAGGTGAATTCCATCTTCCTCAGCTACCAATGACTTACCTAGGTCCCCCAGTCGTGCCCCTTCTCACCCCTTTTTTGGTTGGGAGGGTTCCCCTACTAAAATAGACAAAACAGAAAAAAAAAGTCGGTACCCGTAAATCTGGAGGACCTAGTTACTGACTTGGCCGAACAGCCCAATTTTCCACTCTCCGCAGGCCATGGCGGACCTGTTGGCCCAGAAAACCTTGGTGGAGGAGCATTTCCTGCTGATCGTGCAGGCCAACAAAGGAGACGCATCAGCATCCGTCAGCATCCGAGTGAGATGTCTGCAGTGGGTTTGTCTCAAAATGAGGGAAGCCTGACAACGGTGAGTTTCCTTTTGCCGTTCTTCAAAGCCAAAAGGATGCTCCCTGCAAAGCATGGGAGATTCCTGGACAAAGTGTAGTTTTCCGGGTTATCCCTTTTGGCGTCCTTTAAAGCCAACCAACAGGATGCTCCCCTGCAAAAGGCAGGAACCTCAAAGCAGGACGTAGATTCCTCAACAAACTGTAGTTTTCCGGGTTTTCTGGGTAAGTTCCGCTAGACATTGTTCTCGAGGTTGCCTTTTTTGGGGTTGACCCATTTTAAGTTCCCCTGTGTGGAGTCAAACCGAGAAAGCACAATGCAACCAGCAGGTGTGTTTTAAGACTCCTCCCCTAACCGAAAATGAACAAAATCCTGTTCTTGTTGGCTATCTTCATGTGTTGAAGTTTTGCTATCCCATCTGAGTATGGCCCTGGCAGCCATTCCGAACCACTCCAGAGCCATTTGGGCAAAGGCAGCTTTCTGCGGAAAGAACAAATAGATGCGAGTTGTGATTTTCCTGTTGGTTTCCTTCTAAACCAACCTGAACAAGGGTGAACAATGATGACAGTTGTGGTTTTCCTGTTGTTTTCTGTTTAAACCAACCTGAACAATGATGACAGTTGTGGTGTTCCTGTTGTTTTCTTGTTAAACCAACCTGAACAAGGGTGAACAATGATGACAGTTGTGGTTTTCCTGTTGTTTTCTTGTTAAGCCAACCTGAACAAGGGTGAACAATGATGACAGTTGTGGTTTTCCTGTTGTTTTCTTGTTAAACCAACCTGAACAAGGGTGAACAATGATGACAGTTGTGGGTTTCCTGTTGTTTTCTTTTTAAACCAACCTGAACAAGGGTGAACAATGATGACAGTTGTGGTTTTCCTGTTGTTTTCTTTTTAAACCAACCTGAACAAGGATGTTCCCTCAACAACCACCCCCGAGCCGCTTTTTGGAGGTCCCCGAGCCGGCTTGCAGGAGACGTGGAGAGGGCCACCAACTTCGCGACGCTGTACCACCGGTCATTGAGCAGCTGGTTGGACCACGAAGTCACGCAGCTGGCGGCGGATGTGCGCCACTCGACTAATACGACTTCCAAACGAACTTGTGGCTGTGGCTCACACCATATTTAATATGGCACGCCCACCTTGAATTTTGAGCCACACCGCGGTAACTTCCCAATCGAGAGCCGGTTTCCAGCGGGGTTGGGAGCTTCAGCGCCTTGTACCAGGTTGAAACAGTGGTCCGCCGATTTTATGTGTGCGCCGGGGTTAACTTCGACCCCCCAGTACGCGGGTCCCAAGCATTGTTTGGTCGCCAAGGCAGGCGGATGTTGGACCTGGGAAAATGCAGTTAGGGGGACCCCACTGAAGCCTCTTTGTTCGGGATTCAAGCCTGGCTGCGATCTTCAGGTTTTGGAATAAACACAGGCAGGGTGAATGTGTGTGTGTGTGTGTTTTGTTTTTGGTAGGGGATCCACTCAAATGCTTGGCTTTCCTCTTGATTTCTCCCCCTTTTTGCCACAAACAAGGGGTACCAACTCCAAAAAGACACGCCCGGGTAGACAATCTGCCAGTCTCCTTTCATAAGGCCCCAATTGTCCCTTGGGCTTGATTTCAAATGGCAAGGGATCAAAATAGACCCTGTAAATCATGGAATTGGGCTTGTTTACTTGCATTGTGTTTGGTGGAATCGTCTCTATGTCAGGTTCCCTTAATTTGCGTGGGTTTTGTGATTGCTGGTTTGGAAATTTGAACCTCCTCAGTTTCCCCCAAACTATCAATCCAAATCATTAGATAGGGGTAACACCACAGTTCATATCCCTTTCACTCCCCCCAATCAAGGCGCCATGACATGGTTGTGGACAAAGTGGGTGTCGGTCGCCACTTTCTGTCAGCGAACAAGGGAATTAATACCCATGAAAGCGACAAAGTTGTCAATGGGAATCAGGCACTTTAAGTAGGATATTTCATACTTATGTATTCCCCTCACGGGAAATTGGGTGTAGCCACTGCATGGAGACGCTGTATACGAGGGAATACGAGGTTCGATCAAAATTGTTTGTCTATTTGGGAGAGGGACTCTAAGTGTCCCACAAATTCCAGGGGCCACGCCCCAAATTGGCCATGTCCTCTTGAGGAAACTTTGGCGATTCTGACCGTAGACAACCTGGGTCATCCTTTCTGGGGTAAAGTTCTTTTGGCAAACCAGGAGGAAGCGCCACCTATTGCAGGAACCCCTAATTAGTGTTTTGCGGATTAGAACCCCTGGTTCTTGTAGAGGGTGGATGAACAAAAACCCTCCATTGCACAAAACCACCGATTCGGCTCCAAACCACCACTTTCCAAACCACCAAACAACGAGGAGAGGCGCCCTCAAAACAAAACTAGCTGGATGGTTCACTTCAAGGCAGCGTTGTTTCTGTCGGTAAACCAGGGCGAAGCCAGCTGCAATTCTTCAGCGGCGCCGGCCTCAATTTTTTTGCGGCAGACCCGAGCGGCTGAGCCGCGAAAGTCGGCCCCCGACGCCTCAGGCAGCCAGGTGCTCCAGCAGATGCCGGACCCCCAGAAGAGCTCCGAGATGGCCTTCCAGACGCTCGGAGCGCGAGAGGTGTGTGGCCAATTTTTTGGGCCCCCCGCTGTGTATGGAAGAACCAGCCCACAGCCTCCCCCCCCCCCCCATATCCCCCCATCCCGCTCATAGCCCCCCCCCAAAAAAATAAAAATAAAGAGAGAGCAGTGTGCATAAGGAGTGCGGTTCCACCAACTGGCTACCAGCTACCATAGATGGTTGGCAGGAAATGTCTAACTTCCGTAAATGGGTTTGTCTTTCTTGTGTGGTGTGCCTTTCTTGGTGGTGTTTAAGGGAAATGAAGAGGACAACTGAAGTTCATTTTGGGGGTCCCCTAAACAAAGACACTCATGTAGGGATTCCTTTGAGTCGCCTTGGGTTTCCTTTGCGTTGCCATATGGCAGTGGTTCAAAACCAATGGTACCATTTTGGGGTAGGTGCAATTTTAGTGCATTTGAGTGGGGATTGGGATGTTCACTACAAATACGATTTGGCTTTAAACCCATGGCCATATGGCTTGGTGGCTCCCAGCCATCCGGTTCCTTAGCTTTTAGCCTTTTAGTGTTTAGTGGTAGTTTCCATTTAACTCGCTAAAAGCTAAACTTTTAGCGGGGGGGGATCTGAGGGCAGCCCATATGAGTGCCTCTGTTGTTTAGACCGGAAAGCCGAGAGGATGTCCTTTGGATCCCGGAACTGGTCTGACGTGCTGGAGTACGTGCTGGACACCAATGCCTACCTGGAGAAGCAGCCGCCGGATCCAACATGGGCGTGTCTATTTTTTGAGGGTACCTTGTTGGGGTTCTTTCAATATAATATGGAACAACCATTTTATTTTTGGGGGGGTCCCCCTATTTTAGGATACATGTTTTGTTGTTGTTTGTTTTTGGGGGGAATCTTCCTATTTTAAGACACACACACACACAAATGGGGGATCCAAATGAGAGACCCCAAATGCGGTTTTACCCCACTTGTCTCTTGACCTCTGCTCTGCAGCGGTCCTTCCCTTTTCGGCGGTTTTACATCATCTGTTTTTGTTCGGACTTTCCCAAGCTAGATTCCATTATATAATCTATTTTAAACAACCGCCCCTCCCCGATTTTGTTGAACCCCCCCCCCCCAAAAAAAAAAAAAAGAAACACGAGAGAAGCAAAACGCCCCCACCCCCCCACCCCCCCACCCCCCCACCCCCCCACACACACAAAAACGTCCTTCTTAAGAAGGGGTGGACACGCTAACAATCAAAGGGCACTTCCCCTTCTTTCAAAGTACCCGTTGACTCGTTTTGGGGATGGCAACTCCCAAGCTGAGTTAATCCTTACTAACCTTCATCTACCGATTGTGGCTCAGGTTGGGAGGAACCTAAGGTTGACCCCGGATGAATCCACCCCTGTTTATTAATGCTGTGGATGGTTGCGAAGTCCATTTCGCACAACTTTGAAAGCATGGTTGAAGCCATTGTTGGTTGGTATTTACAGTTGAAGCATCAGAAACCAGGGTTTCTTAGGTGGTGCAGGATTTTCTGTCCATCCGCAGTATGGGGGTGTTCCCCTCCAAAAGTGATACATCCCCAAACCGGGGACACCCCCATATTAATAAACAGGGGTTGATTCATCCGGGGTCAACCCATAAATAGCTGCGGCCGCCTTCTTAATTCTTTGCATCGTTCTGAGTAGACCATTTTTTAATACCGGGTTTTGTGTATGACTCAGGGATCCTTCTTTCTTTCTAGAAAACCTCCGGAAACGCGGGGAATAATGAGGAATCAACCCCTAGAATATTAATAGACAGGGGTTGATGAATCCGGGGTCAACATGAGGTTCCTGCACATCTTCCACCAGCAGAAGCGGCTCTTTGTGGGCCCTGCGCGCAGTCGGGTGGAGAAGCGCGTGCTGGGGGCATACCACCTGCTGCAGGATGCACGGCAGCCCAGTACCTCGCAGCTGGAGAGATGTTTTTTCTCTGATGTTCCTGAGATGTTCCAAGGATTTCCTGATGTCCAATGTGTTTCCAAGATCTTGCACGTTTTTCTGTGATTTTTGATGTGCCTTGACTTTCCATGATTTTATTCTGAATTGTGTGCGGTCTCCAAATGTGGCAGTTTCGTTGGAGCACACCAGTGGATTGCAACATTTGAAGATAAGACCATCTCTGACCCCTGTGCCTTTGCCCAGCTGGCTGGTTTGGTGGTTGGTTACATGAGGTATTACATGTCAAGGATATGTTGACATGATTTTTCCCCATTACTAGAGGGGTAAGTAGATCACCGGGTACCCCTACCCAAGCGGGTTCCGCTGAAAGAGGGCTTGCCCCCTCCCCGTCATTTTGTGTTGTTCTGTTCTAAAAAGATAGACCACCTAAAAGGGTTAGTTTGGTCTCCTTTGTAGTTCCCTTTAGCACCCCCCAAAAAGGGTCAAAACATGGTTGAAACCATCCACATGTTGTTTGCTTTGGTAAACGTGTAGACCATTCAAAAAGAGTGCTCACTTTTAGTACGGGAACTGCTGGCCGCCGAAAGTACTTTTGCCCTCGGTGAGTGAGCAAGGCGTGTACCGTGATCCAAAGCTTCAAGACACAGGCTTATAGGTGCAGCTACCATTCTTCTATTTGTTGACTCTGTCAAAGCCCCAAGTCTCAACGTGCAAGAGGACAACGTGGGTGTTTCCTAAAATAGAAGACCCTTCTTGTGGTTGGTTTCCTTTGGCAGGGCCCCCAGTCTTAGGACCTCCTGATAGTTCATGCGCATTGGCACATTTCGCTTTGACGTGAGGTGGTCGGACAATGGGCGAGGAAAGAGTCCACTCCCACGGAGAAGGTGGATTTGGCCAAGGCGCTGCCAGTTGCAAGCATAGGCGTGCTTTTTAGGTTAATTTACCCAGAACTAGATGGCACTGGTTTAGATTGGTTTCAGTTCATCTACCGCTGCCATCTATGTTGCCAAAAGGACGCCTATGGTTGCAAGTTGCAAAGTTCTGAGCCTATAAAGCTTCAAAAACGGGGAGGGTAATTGAGTGCAACGGGTCCGAAACCTGTGCAGATATCCATCCTTTAACTCACTTCCCGAGTTCCTGGACTTAAACTTTTTTGGAAGACCCTTTTTTTCGGTGGCAAAAACAAGTTGGACTTGGTTTGGCCAGTTCACTCAAGCGAAACTGGTGCAGATATTCGCCCTTTTGACGCTTGTGGGCAGAACCTTTAGAGAGCCAAGAAGTCTGGCATAAGCTCCTTGCAAGAGAAGCGCCCAAAACCTGTTGACGACGGGCCACTCTAGCAATGGGTTTAGCTGGCCACAGGTGTGCAGGGTTGCTCCGAGATCCTAAAAGATGATCAAACCACAATTGTACAAGGTTATAAAGTCGCTTTGGTTTCATTTAGTTTCCTTTGAATTCTTTGGTTTCCTTGGTTTCAGTTGGTGTCCGTTGGTTTCCGTTGGTTTCATGTGGTTTCTTGCTACCATGGGTCAAGTTTCTACGCGTGTGCCGATGATCGGGTTTTCGGACCTGATCTGGTGGCAGGTGGCAATGTTATCGAGCTCAATCCGGGTGAAGTGAGTGAAGTACCCCGAAACTACCATAGTACACAGTTGCCTGTTCGCTAATCGGAGAGACTGTCCAATTTCTGCTCTCACCCGCAAGAAGTATTCAAGTGTTGACGCCCTGGAGATATAGGATTGCCTGGGCAGCTTGGATCTGAATGGATGATTCCTGCTTCTCTCAAAGTACTTGTGGCCTTAACGCACCAGGCAGCTTCCTGAACCAAAGAAAGAACATATATACCCTTGCCATGGTGATGCTGGCCCTATCACCAAATTTGAGAATGTCCGGAAAGCCTAGACGCGGGCTTTCTCAGCCTTGACCATGACCAAAGCACGTCCCCAGACATGGGTCTGTCTAAGGCAAGCCCTTGGATGGCAAAGGGCGGCCAAAACAAAACATGGAGGAATCGGCCCCTTTGAGACATACCCTTCTTGGCCCGGTAGGCCGCAAGCGGAGCGCTTTTTGGACAAAGCGGGGGCAATCGCAGCGAGGGGTGACCAAAAGTCAGTCAAAGATGCGCGCAGCTAGCGACTCACTTGAATTGGGTTCCTTTCTTAAAACCCAAACCCTACAAGAGATCGAGTCTTGTTGACTGACCATGACATTTCTGGCTTTACGGCTCATGGCTTGAAATTGGGCAACCCAAGAGTGGATCACCTGGCTGGGTACTAGTAAATCAAGTTCAGTCATGGGAGATGAGAAGAATGTTTGGCATGATGTGTCCTCCTAGAGATTGACATGGAACCTGAAAAACCTACCGATCGGGCAACCCCTCACTTCCTGAGTTCATGAACTTTAAACTGTTTGGGAAGACCAGTTTAGTGGTAAATATAAAGTTTGAACGTTTTTTTGGGCCATCCACTCAGCAAGTGAGACCCATTTTGGGGCGAAATTTCTCTCACCCACAGCCTGACCACATGAGCATGGCATGGGCTTCCAGTTGCCAGGGCCGAGCGGCGACCGCGAGCAGGTCAGTGAAGGAGCTCAAGGCTTGGGCTGGGCCTTTCCTTGAAACCCAAAGGTGGGTCAGGGCTCCTTAAAAGATACCTTTGGCAACCATTTGAAACATGTTGCTTTTTCAACACCAAAATAAGGGTTGAAACCACCATTTACGAGTTGCAATGTTCAGGTGTATAATGTAAGGATCCATGTTGATCCTTTAGAGATACTGCGGATGGGTGCGAAATCCATCTGTTTCGCGCCACCGCTTCACGGAAAGAAGATTCGATTCTAGAAATACCGTACCAAACGGTATGGTTTCAACCATTTTCCGAAGGGGATCGCAAGGGTGGGGGCCTTTTATAGAGATATACCTTCATACATGAACACACTAGCATAAACATGTGCAAATGACCATACAGCTATATATATATATATACATATCATATATATATATATATATATAGTATACGCCAACACTCCGACTCTTGAGATATGCCCATATGAAGGGCGGGGCGGGGGGGTGATGTTGAATGGGCAATGTCCATCATTTTGGTCCAATCTGCGAAGAGCCTTTCAAAAGGGGCTTGTCCGACGTTCTTTGGAAGCCTACAATACAACAAGGTCTAAGTGCTCCTTGCCACGTACCCTGGCGTACCCTGATGTACACCGCTCGCATGATGCCTCTACGAATAGACAATAGCCAAATATGTGCAATGGTTAATGCCCCTGTACTTGGGGTAAGCAGGGATGGTCAAGGAGCTCTTGATTGGGATTTTGGAAATTCGTTGGAAGGGCCTTGAAGTCCTATGAAGGAAGCCATGAGCATGGAACATATGTACTGCAGCTTTGACTATGCTCAATGGTACATATCAAGGGCTGGAGTGGACGAAGCGGAAACCGTGTCCCTTTCTCCAAGGGCCGGGTGTATCCCGAAAGACATACCCAGCCGGATCGGGACCCAGAGAAGGCGCATCATTTGCCCCAAGTTTGTTGGCAAATGATACGGATCAATCCTGACTTTTGAAGGCAACCACCAGGATCATGTGAGCCACTTGCTCAAAACCCAGGTAAGTGAAGGTTAGTAAGGGGCAGTCCCAGGCAGAAATAGTTGCGGCAGCCTTCTTAATTCTTTACATGGTTCTGGGTAGACCGTTTTAATACCGGGGTTTGATTGTGACTCATGTTACCCTTTCCTGATGGCCAGCCTTACCGAGGATGGCTAGCTGAAAAGTTTGGGATGAGGTAAAGAGCTTAGCGTGTTGTGTTGGTGTTGTTTTCAGTAAGGGCCTTTCAACATTTGCCCTCCCCGTGCTTGCAACCGCCATGTTTGACGCACTACGTTGCAACAATGTCTAATGAACGTCTTGTGAGGTTGTTTGCTATTTGAGGTTCAGTTGGTATGCGTCAAGATAGGGGTACTCCCAAAATGGTGGTCGTCCATTTGGTTTCCCTTCAAAGCAGCCTGAAACGGGTACCCTCAACAGTTTTCCTGATTCCCGAAAGAGCATCCAGCTTTTTGAGGGCATCCTGTGGGGTTGTGATAAAAGAAGCCAGCAGAACCACACACGCCCATTTAGAAAATCCGCGAATCTATGACTGGCTTCGTATGGGCCCACCGCTGGCTTGAACCGCACGCACGCACCTCGCGGCTGGCTTCGCCAGGATTTCATTTCGATCCACGCGGAGAGCGTGCCGACCAACGTGGACATCGCCGAGGCTGGAGAGACCAATGCTCTAGGGGTGCCTTCCCCATTCTTTCCAGGCATCCTTCTTTCTAAAAAAACACCCAACACCCTGGGGAAACAGCTGGTTTTTGAAAAGAACGATGGTTGAAAAGAATGGACCAGGAATCAACCCCTAGAAATGCCTCTGATGGTTCCGAAAGCCTTGCTTTGAGCCTTCGGGCTTTCTGCCTCGAGCCTAAATTGGCCACGTGGGGCTTGATCTACATTCCTTTTTCGGGGCCCCAAGTGACCGGTAGCTTTTCCCATGTAGCGCGGCATATCATCGTTTTAGTGGTTTCGCCAATGGTCATCCCATCTTTAAAAAGACCTTTTGATCAACCCGCCTCTGCAATCTGTCGCAACATGGTGAGACGGAAAGAACTCCAAAGTGGCTGGTGACATGCATCCTGACCTACACATTCTTGCTTATTGTGGTTTAGTGGGAACCCCACTTACCTGCTAAAATTTAATTTTTTGCTCCCCTTCCAACGTCAACCAAGTACATGATCTTCGTCAAAGAGTCCCAAATCAAACCTCACATGACCAAAACTTCAAGGGTCTGCCACCTCGAGCGATTCTTCCTATTCCGGGGGGGGGGGGGGGAAACGAGCGAGCTCACCGTGATGAAGGTCCTTGGGAATTGAGCCTTTTCTTTTTGCAGGTGTTGAAATTGGTTTAAACTCAGCAGATAGTTGTGGTAAATAGGCTTCCATAACGAGAGAATCCCCCCTTGAAAGCATAAAGTCGTCATAGGTATGGCCTCAAAACGTGGCTGCTTGCTTTTGGTTTCCCTTGAACACCAAAAGGACTGGCCTAGTTGACAGTCGTTATGTCAATCCCGGTGCAACTTGAGTAACTTCCTGTGTGGAATTTCCACCTTCGTTGAGTGAAAGTCTCCTAATTTGTGTTTGTATGTCATTCGCATGGGGGATTCACTGAGGCACATGTTTTCGGGATTACCTCACCGGACTCGCTCATTTCGTATGTGGGAAAACAAGTCGTTTTAGGTGTGCCTTGTTTTAGGGGACCCTTTACAACGACAACAAAGGGGGGACCCTCCAGGAAAGATATGCCGGTATCCATAATTGCAGCTGCCCCACTCGTTCCGTGCCGTGCTTCCTATGGTTCACTCAGGTTGCGGAAGCGTGTGACCAGCAACCACGGACGAACCCCTTGCGCAAATCACAGCCACCCCGGGCACCCGAGAAATGATGGAGCTCGCTGAGCGAGCTTCCCAAGCCTCAAGTCTTTCTTCACCCAGAGGCTCCTGGCTTTGGCTTTCAATGGAAAACCTGACCCCTCGATTAGACACCCCGAGGTGGTTGGGGTTCTCAAAACCAGGTTGTTTGAAGGCCCTAAATCAATCGGGAGCCTCTGGGCAGAAAGGATTCAATGTGTTGTAGCTTGCTCGTTCATGCATCTCTGCCCCCGTGGTCCAATTTGAAACCACAACGCGACAGCTTCGTGCCAGGGCTTTCAAGCGTCGGGACAAGTTTCACTGTTTGGAAGGAGACATTGCAACCAGACCATGTTTCAGAGTTTTCCACCAACTTGTTTTTGCCATAAATGCTGTGCACAGGGGGTCTTTTTGCTACCTGTTGTCGAAAATTGATCGACCCCCTCGTAGTGAAGGATTCCTTGTTACGGGGGTCGCCAATTTTCTCACAACAGGTGGCAAAAAGACTTTCCTGGCAGTGCAGGTGTCCCTGTAATGAAAGCACGGAAAAGGCCCGGAGCCGGCCCTTTTGGAGCTCCCCCATGGTCCAGCGCTCCAATTCATCCGCTCGCCGCCTGCGCGCAGTGCGGGCGGTTTCAACGCCTGAGGCGCACCGGCAGCTGGCGGAAAGGCTCCCAGCCACGGCGGACTTTCAGATCGCGGATCCCAAGCTCTTCGCGGAGACCCTGCAGGCGACGCGTGGGCGAAGCGGTGGATTCGGCGGCGGGCGGCGGGTCAGATTCGGCTCGTCTTTTGTGAGGGGACCCCCCCCCCCCCAAACCCAAAAAAACGAGAAGGTGGTGGTCCTTGTCGTTTCCCTTGAAAAGCAAGCAGGGGCACCCTAAGAGATACAAACTTACATGGGCTTCGGACCATTAAATGGGATTCGGACCACCAAGAAGCGGAGTCGGGGTTGCGGGGAACCAAAGGCACACCGATTTTTTGGCAATTACACCTATAGAACCGGAAAGATCGCTCGGTCGATTCGGATGGCGGCTATTCGGCTCGTCGTTTTTGGGGACCCCCCCCAAAAAAAATGAGAGAAGGTGGTGGTTCTTTTCGTGTCCCTTGAAAACCAACCAGGGGTAGCCTAAGAACAGATATGGGTCTGTGATCTAAATAGCAACAGCCCCTTTTGGATGGTGGTTTAAAAAGAACCAAAACGGACACCAGCCAGTTTGGGGCTCCCCATATTTTTGAGACACACCCATATATGAAAAAATATATAGAAACCCCCACCTGGTTTGTTTTCTGGGGGTTCCTTCAGAGCCCCCCGGGCGATGTCGGTCGGCTCGCGAGGCGCGGATCGGCGACTGTGCGGACTCCAGGGATGTGCCGAAGAGGCTCGGCGAGCAGCTGCAAAAGGCGGGCGGGGCTCCCGTCCCGAGGGACGAGTGGGAGGGGTGGTCGAGGGGCCCCTGGAACGGAGGGGGGTACTCAAAAGGTTCTCAGGCCGGGTTCCGTTTCGGAGTTGAGATGTTAGACCGTCATTTGTTTGGTGTGGGACGAATTTTGGTAGATCCAAGGCACGACGAATTGTGTAGATCAAGAGCTCGGATTTCTCTTGGAGAATTCCCTCGGGACTTGTTGAGGTCGGGCCGTCGGGTATCGAATCAAAGCTCAAGGGCCTCAAGTTCTGAGAGCCCATGGCCCGAGCGAGCTGCGGTGACCGCAGCCCTGGCGTTCATTTTGACCGGAAAGTGGCTCCTTTAAGGAAAAAGCGTCGGCGTCAAGTAATTACCTCCCCTGCAAGTTAAGACCCAAAGCGCCCCCAAGGGGCGAGTTTCCGCTAGAAATGCGAATCTGCAGGGGGAATAGAGTCTTGACTGCAATTGGGTTGGATCTCTAGACTTTAACTTTTTGGGTGAAATCAAGTTGGGTTTTCCACTAAACCCCCAAAAAAGTTCAACTTTTTGCAGGGGGGGCAGCAGCAACCAAGGAGTGGTTGCATGTTCTAGAAATTGTCCTTGAGGCACCGCCATTTGGGGCCGATTCAAGAGGCCCAGCGAAGGAATGCGAAGGATTGGTTTTGTCCATTCAAATCATCGAACGATTGGTTCCACCGAGAGGAAACCACCATTGTGAGTGCTATGTTCAAAGTTCAGGTGAGCCACAGTCAAAACCGGGTAGGTGAAGGTTCTGGGTCAACCATTTGATACCGGGTTTTGATTGTGACTGAGGAGTTTAATGTAAGACGCCCTCGCAGGGACAGCGCTAAGTTGCTCGCAGAGACAGCCATGCTACTTTGCACTTTGTAGGGTTTAAAGTGAAGCTTATATGGCCGTGGGTCAAAACCAATGGTACGATATTGGGGTAGGTGCACCACCCATTTTAGTCTATTTTCGTGGGGATTGGGATGTTCACTGGGGGTACGGGATTTTGACCCATGGCCATATTATGGGGGGTGTCTTTCTTTAGGGGGGCCCCTTTCAACCAACACAGGGGTGGCCTCAAAAACCCCGCATGTAAGCCTTCATGACCATGTTGCAGAGCCAAACATCCACGATTTTCGGGCTCTCAGCCACTCAAGGGCGAAGTTCCCCATGCGCCCAAGGGATCTTATTTTTGCAGACAGCCATCCAAGGGGAATTATTGGTTTCTGAAAAGGCGGTAATTGAAAGGAGAACTCCTTGTCCTTTTGGGTGTGCTACATACTTGAAATGGAGCAGAGCCCAACAGTTGTTCAGTGCGTTCTGCTTCTTTTTTCAATCAATCCTTTTGTTTTGGCGGGTTCCCTTTTGTCCTCTTGTTTGGTGAATTCGGGAACTAAAAAAGTCTGGTTTCCCTAAAGACAGCCCCACACCCGATGGTTGAACAAGTTCCCTCCTTAGATGTTCTCCCTTTGCTTGGCGGGTCTGCGACTCGCCAAAGATGCGGAAGAAGCGCAACTAGGTCCCCCAGTAGTGCCCTTTTACCAAGGGAGGGTTCCCCTACTACAGTAGACTGCAGAGAAAAGTTGGTACCCTTATTCCAACATCTCTACTGAAGGGCCTAGGCGAGCGGTTGAGCACCTGTCAGTTCTTCGCCAACAGCAGCGCTGGAGTCAGAACTGGGCATAGGGTTCCAGGGAGGTAGAGCTGTAGGGACCCTGCGCAAGCAGACTCATTCACATGCCTCCCCTTTGTGTTGGGCATAAGTTCCCCACTCAAAGTGGAGGCGCCAGACATCTCTACCTTTCCGATCATTGCTTGCAACTGGAGGCCCTGTGGGTAAAAAACGATGCTTAAGCAACCGAACACGTGCCCAGGCACCATTGGCTGGGGGCCGGTCTTTAATTTGCGGATGATAAAGTTCATGAATAATTGCAATTCATGCCTATGTGCTACATCATCAAAAACTAATATTATTGCTCCCTGTTTTGCTGACCATTCAATCCCCATAGTTGTTTTTTGTTTGCTCCCCAAACCTGGCACTCGCTTGGACGGGTCGGCCATTGGGCAGGATGTGGTCATGCTCCCTTGAACACATCGTGTTCGTTTATCTAAAAATGTGACGTTGACACGTCTCCCCCTGGTGCTGGGTGCTCGCTTTGAATCTCTCCAGGCACTGCGCGAACAGTCGCTGCAAGCTTGGTCCCTGATCCGGGGATGCTCCGAGCGATGCCCACTCTGCGGCTCCAAGTGTGATCTGGCGCGGCGGCCCGAATCGACGCATCGACGCATCGACGCATCCCGACTTGGCCAAAGCGAATCGACCTTTGGAACTTTTTCGGTGAAACACCTTCATGGTTGTTGTTGGGACACATTTGAACCATTTTTGCTTATTGTGGTTTGGTGGTTGAAATCCAACCACTGAACTGCCAAAACATATATTTTGGCTCCCCGTCCAACGTCAACCAAGTCTTGTTGGTCCACCTTTTGAGCCTTTGAGGCCATGGCTCAAAATGGGCCAGCAAGTTGTTGGTCCATTCTTTGTCATGGCCCCGAAATGTGATCACCTTGTCTGTCTGGGTCCCTAAGGGGATATGGGCCAGAATTTGGACATCATATGTTGCTCATGTATCCCAAGGTCCCAGAGTAGGATCAAGAAATGGATGTGGCTCAGAATTACAGGACCCAGGGGGACCGTAGATGTTGTTACCTTGTTGCTGCACAGATGGGAGGCGGGGGGATACAAACCATTTTGGAGAGGCCACATCTGAAGCGCAAGGAGGGTGGCAGGTGAAGAAGTTGTACAATTTGGGGATCAACCAAAAGCCCAGGGCAAAAAGAAACATGCCTTTTATTTGCTCTTTCCATGGCTGCCTTGTGGCGGCTACAAGTCAGAGATGCGACGTCTGGATCCAGCCCCCGCGTTGCTCTCTCCATGTCCCGGTTTCTGGACTTGACAAGTTTTGGGAAGTTGAGGTTAGTGCGACATAATGTCTGAACTTGTTCTGACTGATCCACACAAGAAGTGAGTCTCTTGTGTGAGTAGATGTGAGTAGATTTTGACATACGAACTGTTCTCCGCCTTTACTTTGGATACAAGCACATGCGGTTGCAAGTGGTCCAGCTGTTTCTCACCCGCACATTTTGCACGGTGTATGATATGTCAACATTGAGTTGGCTCATTTTGTTTGTTGAAGGATTCCAAGACTATTTCCCCTCAAAGTTGGTTGGAAGCATCACCCATTCGGCTCTTGTGAAGCCGGCTTCCCTTGGGCGGGGAGGGAAAGATAAATATGGGGCACTGAGTTTGTCCGGAACCCATCCTTGATTGCGGCCCAAATTACGGCCCACAATATTATCCACCAAATGGCAAATCTTTGGATTGGAGGTGCCGAGCTTTGGACCCACGAACGTTCACCCGGTTGTCCTTTTACGCATGTTTGGATTTCCCTCATGTGTCCTCCCAACTAGCAGGGGGGTCTTTTTTGCCACCTGTTGTGAGAAAATCGGCGACCCCCTCAAAAAGGAATCCTTCACTACGAGGGGGGTCGATCAATTGTCCACAAAAGGTGGCAAAAAGACCCCCTTCCTTCATCTTGGTGGCTCCCAGCCATTCCCTTAGCTTTTTCGCCTTTTAGTGTTTAGTGGTAGTTTCCATTGAACCCACTAAAAGAAAGTTAGACTTTTAGCGTGCGATCCGAAACCGGGCAGCCCAGCTTCATGATTCCTCCTCACCAGCACGTGTTTTGCTTGGGTCAACCGGGTTTATGTCTCAGGACCATACCCTCGGCTCACCTTCACCTCCACATGGCACACATGAGAAGCCGATCGGCAGTCGGTTTCGGGAGTTGGCTCGTCCACTTGGTCCCCCGGTAGTGCCCGACCTCCCTCACCCTTTTGTTGGTTGGGAGGGTTCCCCGACTAAAACAGACTACAGAAAAAAGGGCACCCTTGTTCTAACCGCTCTACTGGAGGACCTAGTCCATGTCCTCTCGGTTGGCATAAGTTTCGCCGTGTCCATTTGGCTGTGGGTCAAGACCAATGGGACCATTTTGGAGTAGGTGAATTCACCACCCATTTTAGAGTTTTTTTTTTAACTGGGGATTGGGATGTTCACTGGGGGGTAACCGGGACTTTGACCCATGGCTTGAGTTGGTTCATCTGAAATTTCTGTTTGGATCGGGACCCTCTCGAAATGGAATCGACCCGCCGTGACTCCGATTTCGGGGACGCGGGTCACTCTTGCAACTGGAGGGAAAAAATCAGATTGCCCCACGCAACGACGGCCAAAGTGGCGGGTTTCCCTTGCAACCTTCCTGTGAAAGGCTCGAAACTCTCGCGTAACAGCCGGGCAACTGGATGACAGCCAGGTTCTAAGGTTGCGCTTTTTGGATGGTTTTCTACCGGGAAACCACCAAGAAGCCGCCCACTTTGCGGGGTTCCCATCATCGAATCCGCCCCCGAAAAGGGATCGCGAAAAAGCCCAGAGCTTGCAGCCCGTCCGGCAGGTGGGTGAGCATTCTCGGCATCACTGCGCTTGGAGCTCAGGAAGGGCAAAAACCAGTCAGAGAGTCCCCTGGGTACTCGAGGATGGTCTTGGGTGAGAAAGTGAGAGACGGAAGAAGACTTGTATCCACACCTACTGCGCCTAGGTCTTTTTTCTAGTGCCCGACCTCTCACAAACTTTTTTGGTTGGGAGGGTTCCCCTACTAAAATAGACTACAGAAAAAGAAAGGAAGTTGGTACCCTTATTATAACCTCTATACTGGAGAACCTACTGCGCAATACGCACAAATGAGCTTGGTTTCGGCCTTCCGAAGGCACAGTAGAGTTACCATGTGTTCAATCAACCACTTCGATCAGAAGGTTCTTTAACAACCTTTCTTGCGGGAGTTGGCCTTGGTTTTAGTCACCTGAAGGCACTTGCTCTCTGTTGATTCCAGCATATGCCCGGCATGGATGCGTGCCCGGCATGGATGCGGGTGGATTTGCCATGACTTGTGCGCATTTTCTGAGACACTGACAAAAAAGCATCCCTTTACATGGGTTTGTCTTATACGTAGGAGACCCCGCCTCAGATGCGCATGTTCTTTTCTGGGGTCGCTTTCAAACAGGCCCAACACAAGGGGTGCCTTCGAAATACACCCCCATCGATGTTCACTAGATATGAAGCAAAATTCAAGCAGGTCCTGCTTAGAAGGAAGTCTCGGACATTCCCAAGAAGCAGTTTTGTGCTTTGTGCCGCCCTCCCCAGAAGCTGAGATGACGCAACTCTGCCGAGGCGCATCATCTTTTCCCCGCGTTTCACGGGTTGCGGCCTCAGTGGTTTTCATGATGCAGAACCCCGTCGCAAGGGGAGCGGTGGGAAGCTCATATGGTTCTGATTCAGGCCCTTCTTGTTGGCGCCAAGTATGCAGTCTTTGGTTACAAAGTCCACTTGGCACCGGTTGCAACTTGGTTCATCAACCAGTATTCAAACCGGGTTTCCTCCATCTCAACTGGTGTAGAGGGTGGGTGGGTGGGTGGGGTGGGGTGGGGTGGGGTGGGGTGGGGTGGGGTGGGGTGGGGTGGGGTGGGGTGGGGTGGGGTGGGGTGGGGTGGGGTGGGGTGGGGTGGGGTGGGGTGGGGTGGGGTGGGGTGGGGTGGGGTGGGGTGGGGTGGGGTGGGGTGGGGTGGGGTGGGGTGGGGTGGGGTGGGGTGGGGTGGGGTGGGGTGGGGTGGGGTGGGGTGGGGTGGGGTGGTGTGGGGTGGGGTGGGGTGGGGTGGGGTGGGGTGGGGTGGGGTGGGGTGGGGTGGGGTGGGGTGGGGTGGGGTGGGGTGGGGTGGGGTGGGGGGGTGGGTGGGGTGGGTGGGTGAGCGGGCGGGCGGGCGGGGCGAGCACAGAGTAGCTATTGAACGTAGGCATACGTGGTATCAACGCACCTCAGATCTTCATAAGAAACAAGCCTTGCCTTCGGCTGGCCTCCCTATCGGAGGACTGCGACCATCTCCGATTCCTTGCCTTGTCCCCACGGAGAATTTGCCAGAGAAAAACGACTTGCAAGGCTTTTTGACTAGCTGCCTACAGAGAGTGAAAAACATAAAAGTTAACACGCGCCATCCAAAGAAGAGTGAATTCTTGGCGGCAACCACAGATTGCCTGGCGCGTGTGTTTGTCGTGTTTGACAAGCGCTGCGCCTGGCGCGTGTGTTTGACATGTTTGACAAGCGCTGCTGTAATCTTGGCCTCCTTTGGGCAGACGCCTGCAACTTTATGATCGGCCGCCTGCAACTTTGTGATGACGCAAGCCCCTTTATGTTGGTAGACTGGGAGGGGAGACGCGCCATTTGCTTCACGAATTGTGTGTAGCAAACGCCTGCAAACCTGAAGGGGGAAAGCGTGATGACATTCGCAAAGATGTAGTCCATTTTGGGGCAGCTTCTATCTTCAGTCCATCAGCAAAACCCCAAATGAGGCCTTGGCTACTGGCCAGACAAAAATGGTTGCACGTTGGGGTTTTCGACCTTGTCCCACACATACTCCCTCTAGATGAACGTGGGCCCAACAATACAGCTCTTAACAGAGGAGACGCCTTTTGGGAAATGGACCCCAGATTTTGGGGTTCCTTCCGTTATTTTGTAGGGTAGCTATGGTCATTTCGGAGCTCGTGCCTATCGAGGTGGATGGATCGGAGTACAGGCTTACCTTCCTTCCACCACTGTTTGAGCACCGACACCCGCGAGGGCACGTGCCCTTCTCCCGGCTTCGGTCGGGTTTAAGGCGGAGGTTGTTTAACGAGGAGGCAACAAGCACTCGTTGAACCACACAAATGAAGGTTTGTTTGAGGGTGTAATGTTGTGGGTTTGGTTTTAAGGGAGGCTACAGTAAGAGCACACTTGTTCCCGCCCCCCGGCCATTTGGAGGCATGGCTAAACCGGGAGTGCCTCAAAAACAGGGCCCCCCCAGCGTCTCATTTTCGTTTTGAGACCAGCTGAAAATCGGGGATCCAAGCAAAAGAGGGAGCCACGAATTAGGCCTTTGAGGAGAGGATTGTTGTCGGATCGAGTTTGGTTGTGTGCAGCTGGTCAGAGATGCAAGGGTCAGAGATGCAAGGGATTGTCTCAACATTCAAGCATTCAAGCCTCAAACTGTTCTCCGGATTTTTGTTTGCTTCCCATGAAAAGAGGCGCTCCAGAAAGTCCAGACCGACCAAAGTAAGTCGGTTTGCATCCATGACACTGGTACCACGAGCTCTATGCCTAATTACATCTACATATTTATTTGTATGCATACGTACATACTATATATAGTTATAATATATATATATATGTGTGTGATATGTAGATGCATGGCTTGACCCCAAGTAAGAAGTGACTCGAAGGCGGAGACTGGAAACAATTCAGAATGTACCGCGAATTGGATGCCGATCCAGCCAGTTTCTGCTTC